AGGGCTCTGGTACCACTGAGTCCACTCCTTGAGTGTGTCACTTGTGGAGGTGGTGGGCGGTGGTGCTTCCGTGTGGTCTGAGGCTGTCCACTGGGTGTGCTGGCCCTGGGGCAAGGTCAGCCATGGCCTGTGTTCTACCCGGGGCCACCCGGCATAAGCTACAAAGTGACCTGCAGATGGCTGTTGTTGTGCTGGGCATGGGGGTGCCCAGCAAGCTGTGAACCAAGGCTGGCTGCTGCTAGTGCCAGGCCTGGGGCCGCTTAGCGAGAAGTATGGGGCTCACTGAGGCCAGATGCTGCTTGTTTGAGAGATTTGAGGAAAATCTGAAGCATGAGCCCAGACTGGCCATTCCTCTGGGAAAGCCACTGGGAACAGCTGTGCGTCCGAAAGTTGGGTGGGGCAGGGCCTCAGGGAATCACCAGGGCAGAGCAAACAGTGTGAGCCAGGTTGCCACAGTCCCAGATATGGTTCCATTTGCCAGCCCCATGGGGGAAGGGCTGCCCTGGAGAAGCTGCCTCTCCAGCTCTCGCCCCGATGCCAAACCACGAAGTTCTTCCCCTGTGCGTGGACTTGGAGCTAGAGGGCGGCTGGGCTTGCTCCGCCTATGTGGGTGATGGGCTAGAAGAGAGCGGGCGGAACGCCTGCTTCGGGGCGTGCCTCCTGAACGCCCGCGCAGGACTGCGCCAGGGCTCTGGGTAACGGTCCAAGTTGTGCATAGCAGCAGGAGGCTCAGCAGCTCACCCAAGTAGGCAGTGATCAAGAATGTGAATGGAGTCTGCCCTTAAAGTCTGGTTTGACAGAGGCCTCCCCTAACCCCATGTTGGGATTGCACTGGTGTGAAAGCCTCGTAAGATGTCACCGTTCCCTTTCCTCCCAGTACACACGTAAAGAATCAGCTCCGTGGGAAAGAATCTAGTCATGTTACATTGCCACTCAGCTGGGACGCGGGGCCCACACCGCACACGCATCCAGAAGTCCTTCCTGGGCATCGGGCTTGGGGCTGTCGCTCAGCCCCTCCACCCCGGGTGCGGATCGGGGGCCATGGCCAGGTGGGGCTGTTCCCGAGGCTCAGATGTGTAGTGAGAAGGTTTGGGAGAAGCCTGCACTCATTTCTTGGCTGCCCAGCAGGTGACCTGAAGATCCCTCAGTCTCCTCCTCTATAAATCTGCCGGAACACTCGGCCCTGGGAAGAACGGGCTGGGTTTGGGCCAGGGGCCCGTGAGCCCCCGGATACCGAGGCCCACTGCCCTATTCGACACTGAAGGTGAAGTTTTAGATTCCACTGAGGTGGTCCCACCTCCCCCGGGTGCTGTGAGGACCCAGAGAAGTGACGAGTGGAAGGTCGTAGAGAGCAGGGCGGACGTGGCTGTCCCCAGGGCTGTCCCCAGGGCTCCGACCCTTAGCCGAGGCAGGCAGACCACGCCGAACGCGCCTCTCCCTGCGCTTCGCGGGCCTCGCGTTTTTACAAATTGAAGGCAAGACCCTCCCCCAGTGAAAGATGATGACTGGCGTCCGGCGAACGCGCCCGACCGCGGTGGTCTGCGGCCAGGCCGCAGTCCCTCAACTACCCGAGACTGCGCAGGGTGCGAGGCACAGCCCAGTTCTCATAAAGCTGTGCCCGCCCTCCAGCTCGGCTGGACGGGCCCCCCAGCCCCGAAGGCCGAAGGCCTGTGAGGACACAGCAGGTCGCCCCGTGCGCGGTGGCAGCTGCAGCCCCGCAGCCCCACGGAGCTGGGGGGGGTCGGTGTTCCCGATGCAGTCCATCCTCGTGATTCGTGCATTTTATGTTTGCAAACTCAGCTAAAATTTACTTCTAAGCCCAAATCAGTACTTGGGGTGTTTGGGAGGTTTATTGGGGACATACAGGATGGTGACATGTGTGAGTCCCCCGAGATGTGTGTCCCCAGCGGAGGAGGAACAGGGTTGTTTCAGCTCCCACTGTAAACAGTGTCCTTTGCTGTCTACTTAGTGCCGTGTGTGCATTTTCATGCTTCGTGTTGTGATTTGCTGTTGGAACTGGCCCGAAGCACAGCGCTAACGTGCGTCTGGTCCCAGGCACACGAAGCCTTGACGGTCCTGGAGAAGCCTGTGTTAACGAGCTTCGCTCAGGCGGAGGTCTTTGTTAAGGAATCAGCCATACGTTAAATAAGGTGTCTTTCGACAGAAACACACATCAGTCAAGGTTGCGTGTGGACTGGCAGACAAAAACACTGCCCCGAGGCCGGAAGGAACCTCGCCCCGCATTTCCCCTGGGAGCTGCGGTTGGTATTTGCAGCGTTTGTGGCCACTTGGTAGAACATAACTTTCTGGAATGAGAACGACTGTGATCATGGCTGCTGGCCTGGGACCCCAGCCCAGCAGGGAAGGCAGGCCTGCGGCCCGGAGCTGTCCCTGGTGCTGCCCAAGTGAGCGGCTCAGCGTCTGGACTGACCGCGCCTCTCCGCTGGATTCCAGGGGCAGAAAAACCGCTGCCACGGCGGCCAGATGGCAGGAAGACAGGGACAGAGAAGGCGGGAGTCGCGGAGCTCTCTGCTGGAGGGGCAGCTCCCAGGGCTGTCACCGAGGGGATGTCTTGCTGGTGGGGCTTTGGCGAAGGATGCAGGGAGGAGGGGTTTACCTGCGGGACAGACAGCACTGCTTTCATAGGCCACACGGGGTCCAGTGACCCCTCGTGTTTATTCACACACAGTTACTGCACCATGTGACACTGGGACTTTGGAAGGTTTGGGATCCAATGACCTCATCCGAGCAGGCCACACTGCCGACAGAGACAAGGAAAGGAGCAGTGCAGGGGCCCCCAAGACCCCCCACGAACCCACTGCACTGTAAGGCAGGGGAATGGGACCCCTGCGTGGACCCCACTAGGTCCCGCCCTGGCTGGGCATGTGCGATGCCAAAGGGCACACATTTGCCAACTCCAGCCCCTCCTGCCTGAAACCAGACTCCTCATCTTCCCCCACCCAAGAACCCCTCGGTTTGCTGCCCTCCTGGGGTGCACAGCTGCCTGCTAAGCCATTTGCATTAGTTATCTGGGTCCTCCCTCTGGAAAGTTGAGGAACAGTGTATCTTCTAAGACCCCCCAGTGTGGGGTCCCACAGGTCTGAGGACTCCACCTCTTCTATCTCTGTGAACCTGGGCTTGGCCGTTAACCTTAGAGTCGGTCTCTTCTGTGGAATAGGGCAGCAACGGGGGTGCCGGTGAAAGTTTAATGAGGTGCGTCCAGGGAGCGCATACCCAGCACCCAGCGCCTGGCAGGTGCTTAGCAAGTGGTCGCCCACGCTCCACCCGTTTGCTTCTGTTAACCAGCGAAAGATCTCCTGAGGAAGGGCTGAACTTTGGCCTCACTGTGGCAGTGGGGGGTTCTGAGTCACCACCCCCTGCGTGTTGTGTCCTCTTTGATGTCTTTGATGTCTCGGCTACAAGGCCTTCTGCTGGGCTCTGGGCCCTGAGGGAGCTAAAAGTTAAATGCAATCATGGGGCAGGTTCAGGTTTTACCCCGGAGGAGCACAGTGGGCGTGGTGAATTTTGCAGGGCGTCTGCAGCAGCGTGAGTTGGTGAATTGGGCGTTGCCTGTCCTAAGAGCGTGGCAGGGATCTCAAATCCGTGATGCAGACGGCACTCTGGGTTCCACTTGGTGCCGGGACATCTGTCCTGCAGACTCTGCCCCAGGCTGACCTGCTGGTTCCTGTTAATCCGGCTGGGTTAGCCCTGCTGAGGAGACCCCTTTGTTTCCTCCTCCTGGAGCCAGGCAGGTGGGGGATGGGCGCCCGCTGCCCTGCCCTGCAGCCCAGCAGAGGGCAGAGGTTTGAGCCTCTGGTCTGGTGATGTGGCAGAAGCCAGGTCAGGCTGGGTTTCTGCGTGTGACTCCGTCTCCCAGAGCCTGATGGCTGACCCCAGGACAAGGGGGCGGGGGCTGTGAGGCGGGGCACGGAATGCCCGTGGGAGCAGGGGAGGGTCCTGGCCGCCGGCGGCCCCTGGTTCCGTCTCTGAGTGTGGGTAGTAGGCAGCTCCTTCCTGCACCCAGTAGGAGCACTAGGTCGCAGTGGTCAGGTGTCTTCGGGGCAGAGAGAAAGAAACCAGCAACAACGGAATGTTTTGAGTTCATGAGAAATGGCTCTGGAGTGTGTCTTGACATTTCCTTGGATCTGTCTAGAAGGGGAAGGCACCCTGCTTTGCCGATCCCTCTCTGTGCCAGACCAGGGCTCTTCATGCCATGGTCCCCGCCAGCCCACCCTCACCACGAGCCCGGCGATCAGAGAGGCCTGCTGCTTGCCCGCTGCCACAGACCAAGCAGCGGGGCTGGGGTGGAAACCCAGGTCTCTTCTACCCGAGCCTGGGGCTTTTTCTCCTTGTGCTGGAAGCATTATGATAGATTTATCATAAAGAAATACTATTTGTCAAAAAAACACAGTCCCTGAGAAGATGGAGCAAGAATAACCCTTATACTGACAGGCCCTGCAGCGCAGGGGTGAGGGGCGCTGTGCGTGTCTTCCCTGCTTCCTGCCCAAAGCTGAGGCTGGTTGGCAAAGGGGCGGCTGTGCCTTTAAGTCAGATTCTCCATAGGGATTGCCGCAGTCTGGGGTGAGGGTGGGGGATGTGGGCTGAGGGTGGTGCCTGTCTGATGACAGATCTCCCCTCCACAGCCCTCCCAGCTCCAGCCCAGACAGCCCCCGTGACGGTGACGTTCCTTCTCATTAGGTCTTTCCTTTCCACCGAAGCTGCTGATTCATCCTCAGTCTGGAGTCCGCTCAGCTGTGGGGCTGGGAGCGGGGGCTTCGGGCCACCTCTGGGTGGAGAGTTGGGCCTCTCTGGGTGCCCTGTGGGGGGTGGTGAGGGAGCAGGGGGCTTAGGACAGCACAGACCCCTGGCAGATTTCTGTCCAGAAATGCAGGTTGGGGATGGGGGTGGAGGGAAGGAGGGAGACCAGGCCTGGCCAAGGTTACATGGTGAGGGCCAGGCTGACCTGTCCTTTCTCACGGCTGCCTGGCCGCCCTCTGCAGGGTGCTTGAAGGATGACCGCATCGCCTTCTGGACCTGGATGTTCTCCACCTACTTCATGGAGAAGTGGGCGCCACGGCAGGACGACATGCTGTTCTACGTGCGCCGGAAACTGGCGTTCTCGGGCAGCGAGGGCAGTGTGGATGGCAAGAAGGTGAGCGCGTGTCCTTGCAGCCCTCGTGCATGCCCGAGGGGGAGTGAGGCTCACTGAGCACCCACTGTGTGCGGGAGCTGTGTGGAGGGCCACAGGCTTGCTGATGGTGGGATGTGCTGGGCGTGGTGCACATCATCACTGACCTTTCCCATGACCCTGAGGGGCAGCAATATTATCGTTATTGTGCCTTTGAGGAAACAGGTTTACAGGGTAGGTAATCTGGCCAGCATCTCATCATTAGTAAATAAAGGGTACAGCAAAGCTTTGACCCCCGAGTCCAGGTCCTCCCTGACCGTGGACAGGTGTCCTGGCTTGGGGGTGATGGTGATGGTAAGGCCGACCACTCACTGACCCCAGACCATGGACCACACACGGTGCTGAACTCTCCACTTCCTGATCTCACTGTGTCCTCCCTGCACCTCGGCAGGAGTTGTTATTGTCCCCTCCTTACAGACGAGGAAACCCAGCGCTCAGAGAGGACGTGACTCACCTGAGGTTTTCATCCAGTAAATTTAAGTGTGTAGAGGAGTCAATGAAACAAACTTTGCATGTTTCCATCTCTGTTTTTTAGAAGCTTTAGTAGTTTGTAAAATGGTTAAGCAACCTGTGTGCCAAACAGGGAAATGCGTGGTTTTCCTTAAACGCAAACAGGGCAGGGCTGGGGCAGCCCTGGAGCTTGCCGCCTGCCTGGCACCCAGCCCGGTGCCCTGACCCCTCCTGCATGTACCTGCTCCTGGAGCCTAACACGCAGAACAGGTTTTCTGCAAATGGACAGCCTGGCATCTGCCGCAAAGGAGACACGGCGACCCCCTGCCAGGCTGGCCCTCTTCGTGCCGGGGGCGATACAGCTGGTCTGGCTGGGCTTCCTGACATGTAGGAAGCCCCAGGGGCTGGCTTGGGTCCCCTGGTGTCTGGCTGGTGTGTGCAAGCAGCTGGCTGTGTGACTGTTGTCACTGGGACCCAGAAGTGTTTCACGTGTGGTAAACACAGGGACCAGAAGGAATGGGAGTGGTCAGCAGAACCACTTGGGTGAGAAGAGTCTTAATTAAGGAAAAGGTGTTCCCTGTGCATTCGGGTGTTGCTGGTGGCTCTGTGCGGCTGTGGTATAGGAGAGGGACACAGGAAACGAAGGAGGCAGGGGCCAGATCACAGGGACGCTGAAGTCAAGCCCCAGAGTTTGGGTGTTATCTCCCAAGCCCTGGGAAACCGCTGAGCCTGACAAACTGAGGAGGGGGCACGGTCAGAGTTCCGTGGAGCAAGCTCTCGGGCTGTGGGTGGAGGACTGGAGGGGGTTAGAGCAGAAGCCAGGAGGCTGCCCAGGAGGGTGCTGGTAGTGGCTGAACTAGGGAGAGGGCACGGCTGGTCAGATAGTGCCAAGGATGTGGGCTTAACCCCAGCAGGGCCTCAGGTAGCAGCCTGGGGCAGGGAGGGCTCAGCCTGGCGGCCAGGTCTGACTTGGGCCCAGGGTGAGTATAGTGCCCTCAGAGGAGGGGAGACAGCCTGACGCAGGGAGGAGTAGCAGGAGACAGAGCTACGGGCCAGAGAGGTGGGGGTAGGGGTCACCCCTCTGGCCTGCAGGCATCTGCTGGAGTTCCCATTGTAGACAAGGCCTTGTTGCAAAATCTGGTCTTTTCCCAAAGGCAGTCTGTTGTTGCAGCCGGAGACTCTGAGGACGGGCCTCCGAGACCCTCAGCAGCCCCTGGAATTTCAGCGCCTGGAGAGGTGCCTGCTCTGGTCAGGGAGGTTTTTAGCTTCTCGGCCTAGAATTCTCCAGGGCAGGTGGGAGAAGAGAGAGGCCAGGGGGGCAGGGGAAAGGAATGGGCAGGTATGGCTCTTACCTGGGGGAGAGGGGTCCCCAGACCCAGGGCTGAGGCATGTGGAACAGGAGGGCACAGGGCCCTGTGTAAACTCTCTTGAAGATGGGGGGGAGGGGGGGGTCAGTGCCGGGAACCTGAGTCCATGGGAGCATGAGTCCAGCTATTCATGTGCTGGAATGTTCCACCGACCACCCACAGGGAGCTGTGTACAGAAATGACTGGGACCTGGCCCTGCCCTGGGGGAGCCTCCAGCCTGCTGGGACAGGCAGCGTAGCCAGTGACAGAGCTGCAGTGGTGGGGAGAATGGGGAGCAGGTGGGTGCCTACAAAGAGGAGGTGACATCCTGCTGGAGTGTGGTAGGACAGAGAGAGGGGACAACAGTGGGCTGGACGTTCTGTGTGGAGGGACCAGCGCATGCGAAGGGGAGGGGTGTGCCAGGCACCTGTGACAGCGTCTGTCAGGGCGGGCCCTGTGGCGTCTGTCCTCGGTGTTTGAAGGGCAGGGGATGGGCAGAAATTTGAGGAGGCCCCATGGGCCTAGGGGGTGCAGGGCAGGTGGGGAGGGGATGTGGGGGAACCCGGTGGCAGCTTCCTGGCCCCGCCATTCAAAAGAACAGAAAGCAAGCCCTTGGCCAGAGCAGGGTGGGCGCTCTGTGGCGCCTGCGCACTGCGGGCTCCCTGTGGCGCCTGCGCACTGCGGACTCTCTGTGGCGCCTGCGCACTGCGGGCTCTCTGGCGCCTGCGCACTGTGGGTCCTCTGCGGCAAGCCTCTGCTTTCCCCCTTCGCATCCTGCAGCCTACGGAGCTGGTAGCCCATCGCCATAGCAACCTGCAGGCATCCTGCGCTAGTGGGGGAGGGTGGATGCGTGGAGCAGCTGCCTGTCGGTGGGTTGGGGAGCAGAGTGTGGGTGGAACAGGATGCTGGGATCCCCCGCCCTCCTTGCAGGACCCCAGGAACCACCTCGGAGGTTCCGTTCTTGATTAACTCTGGGTCTGAGCTAAAGACTGAGGGCGAGGCTGGAGTCGATGTGTGTGAACACCTGCCTGGTGCAGTGGTCAGGGAGAAAGCGCCGATGCCACAGTGGAACCAACTCACTTCCCACCTGTGCTCCGCAGCCGGCGGAGACTGAGCCCGAGGTGGAGGTGGAGGTGGAGGTGTACCGGCGGGACTCCAAGAAGCTGCCAGGCCTGGGAGACCCTGACATTGACTGGGAGGAGAGTGTCTGCCTGAACCTCATCCTGCAGAAGGTAGAGGTCTGCAGGGCGGGGCCCAGGAGCAGGGCGGTTGGTAAGCCGGAGGGACTGCCCGCCCTCCACACACCCCCTCCTGCGTTCTCTTCCAGCTGGACTACATGGTGACATGTGCTGTGTGCACACGCACCGATGGGGGTGACATCCACATCCATAAGAAGAAGTCCCAGGTGAGCCAGGGGGAGGGCTCCACCTGGAAGCGGCAGCCCCCTGACTGCCCAGTGTTTGTTTTGAGGAGGCAAGTCCCCCTCCTCACTTCCCTGCCCCGCCCCCCCTGAGGTGAGAGTCTGACTCCAGAAGTCCATCAACTCCAGGGTCCTACATCCAGTGCAAGGAACACAGAACCAGGTCATCCCAAGCAGCTCCTTCCAGAGAGGTCCCCTCTGGCTTTGCCTGGCTCTGAGCAGTGTGACCATGGTGACCTGTGCCTTGGGCAGCATGTCCCACCTGGTTGAGTGGCTCTGGACCTGGTTGCAGGGTGGGCCTCACTTCGTCCTTAAATCTTCTTTCTTCCAGCAAGTGTTTGCGTCCCCCAGTAAACACCCCATGGACAGCAAAGGGGAGGAGTCTAAGATCAGCTACCCCAACATCTTCTTCATGATTGACAGCTTTGAGGAGGTGAGTGTGTCTCCCATCAGGTCTCCCTCAGGCCTCAGCCTTTGCAGAAAGGCAGGGTGGGGGACTGGGAGCAGGGATGGTCTGGACTCCCACCAGTGTGGGCCCCCCCTTCCTGATGGTTGACGTGGAGTGAGCGAGCGCCCAGCCTGGAGCCTCAGTTCTCCACGTGCCCTACTTGCCCTACTTGCCCTCGGGGTCAGAGATCAAAGGGGCTGGTGAATGGCAGACCCCATTGTAAAGGCCTACAAGGAGCGCTGCCCCGGGGGAGGAGTCACTGTGATCCCCATTAAACTCTGAATAAACTCCTCTGGCTTGGCTTGGGCATGGGATCCTCCGGTGTCAGAGGGGTGGGGCTTCGGAAGTTATCCAGGCCACGCTTTTGTTTTAAGGTTGGGCAAACTGGGTCCCCAGGCAAAGGGTGACTCGCCCTGGGAAACAGGTGCTGGGAAGACTGGGCTGTGTCCTGCTCCCGACTTGCACTGCACCTGCCCAGCCAGCCCCTCTGTTGAGGCCCCGATGACACGCCTGCTCTCAACCGGAGGTGGCCAGGCCCTTGAGGGTGGAGTGGGGCGTGAGGGGCTGGAGTGAGGGAGACCCTGGAACATGGGCCCGACAGTCCTAGTAAACCGCCTAACTCCTTAGTCTGGAAGTGTGCTGACGGACAGCATCCTCCCAGGGAAGTCCCTGCTCTTCCCAGAGTCACAGGCATGAGCACCCCTGCTGGACACCACCCCTGCTCCGCAGTCCGGCTGTCCCTGTCCCTGTGCTGGCTCAGCAGGGGTGGGTGGTCTGTGGCTCAGTGTTCTCACCTGCAAATGGGAGTTTCCCAGCAGTCCTCGGGGGCAGCCGTGGCCAGGCGGTGGGCAGCTGGCAGTTGACGTCTCGCACTCTGCCTTGCGCCCACCGCAGGTGTTCAGCGACATGACTGTGGGGGAAGGAGAGATGGTCTGTGTGGAGCTGGTGGCCAGTGACAAAACCAACACGTTCCAAGGGGTCATCTTTCAGGGCTCCATCCGCTACGAGGCGCTCAAGAAGGTGTATGACAACCGAGTGAGTGCTGGGTGGGTCCAGGGGGCCCCCCAGGCCCGTCTGTAACTGCCTCCTCAGCACCTGCAGTGCCCAGGCCCCATGAAGGGGGCTTGAGGCCAGCTTCACGTGGTGTTTGCATAGCCACTCAAGTGAGAACACTCCCAAGGTGGCCCCGACCGGAAGGGGGGAACCAGGTGGATGGCCATTCTCCTGGCTGGGTGCCATCCTGAGACACCTCCCCCAGAACTTAGTGCCTGGGGCGGGGGGATGAGGCTCAGGTTCGTGGGGCTGCGGTTCTGTTCCCAGCATGGCCCTGGGCCTGCTGTGGGTGTGGGTCATCGGGCAGTGAGGGAGTGTCAGCCGGGGACCCCAAGTGTTCAGCACTGCCCTGCCTGCTGGGCAGGGCTGGTCTGTGGGGGCTCAGTTTCCCCCAGGCTGCTCGTGTCCCTAGGGAGAAACCCTCCAGCCAGCCTGGCTCAGGCACCTCCCACCTGCCCACAGGTGAGCGTGGCCGCCCGCATGGCACAGAAGATGTCGTTCGGCTTTTACAAGTACAACAACATGGAGTTCGTGCGCATGAAGGGGCCCCAGGGCAAGGGCCATGCAGAGATGGCGGTCAGCCGTGTGTCCACTGGTGACACGTCCCCCTGCGGGACGGAAGAGGACTCCAGCCCGGCTTCACCCATGCACGAGCGGGTAAGGGCTGCACCGTCGGGCAGGGGCATCCTGTCCCTTGAACCTGCTTCCCATCGTCTCCCTGGTCCTTACAGCCCCCGGTGAGGTAGGTGTCATTGTCCCCATTTCTCTGGTGAGGAGTCCGAGGTTCAGAGAGGGCAGATAACTTGCCAGGGTCACACAGCAGGTTAGTGCCGGACCAGAGCTCCTTCTGCTCCTCGAGCTGTCACTGCAGCCAGGCTGAGTCTGCCGTGTCCTGGCGCCTGCCTCAGTGGGCCTGCTGGGTGAGCGTGGGCCGGTGACAGGCTCTCCCCAGGGAGGCGACGGGCCGACTCTGAGCTGTGAGGATCAGCCGGGTGCACAGAGGCCCTGGGCCGCTCCGCGCTGCTGGGAGCCCACCCCAGCCCTGGGTAGGAGGGAGCTTTCCTGTCTGCAGCCCTGGCAGCCAGGGTCGCGGGACCTGCTGCGGTGGGACGGCCCTGCTCTTTCTAGGCCACGTCCTTCCCCAGGGTGGGAGCCCAGGGCCGGCAGGCGGCTCCAGCCCACGGCTTCGCCCTGCTAGGGTCCTCTAGAGGGCGCTGCCGAGAGCCGTCAGTGCCTGGACCCGAGCCCTTCCTCTCGGAAGAGGACAGGAAGCTAGCCCACCGGCCGAGGCAGCCTGCCGGGCGCATCTCCAGGAGAGGGGCCGAGGGGAGACTGGGCGGGATTCCGGGTGCTGCTGCTCGTGTGACCTGGGACAAGCTCTCTTCCTCTCTGAGCCTCGGTTTGCTCATCCAGAAGTGGGGAGAAAACACCTGCTCCGTCAGCGGAGGCTCGGGAGCTGCTGTGCCTCGAGCACCTGCCCTCAGGTGTCCTCCAGGGCAGCGCGGCAGTGACCGCCTGCTGCCGAGCTCCCCGGAGGTGACTTCGAGTGTGCACGGGCGTTATGAGCGCGGAGACCGCGGAGGGTGTCGGCCACGCCTTCAGATCTGTCCGATTATTTAACCACCATTTCTCCGGGCGGCCGGGGGTGGTTTCCTCTCTCCACTACACTGTTACAGCTTTTTTTGTTGTGTATCTTCTGCAATGAATGTTTTAGACGCAGAACGAAATAAATGGCATTTGTTTGTAAAGGTGGGTGGGGATTCTAGGCAGGGCCTCTCTGTCACTGCAGTAGCGGCTGTTTATATTTCGGAGCTCGTTTCGGAGCTCAGGAGCCCGATTTTTGCCCTGGTCCTAATGTCCCACTGAGACCCTGACAGAATGTGTATGTGAAATCCCCGTGAAGATTGGCCCGGGCTCCGGGCTGGGCACACTGGGGGGCCAGTTCCAGCCAGCTGTTTGCTGAATGAGTTCAGATCTGTTACCAGACCTGACTGAGCCTTGGTTTCCCATCCATCCAATTTAAAATGTTCCCATCTGGTAGCAGGGGGATCCTGGGGTCAAGGGGAGGGATTGCCAGGGCCACACTGCTGTTAGTGGCAGGGCCTGACCTCCTGGGGACTGTTCAGGCCCCTGCCACCTCTGTGCTCACTGTTGCTCATCCCCCTTTTCTGGGGGTGAGGGTCATTTGTAACCAGCGCATGACAAATGCAGATTCTGTGTGTATTGTGGTTTCTGGTGTTTGTTTTTTATCTTTTAAAAACCTTCCCTGACTTGTGGGAGGACCATCTGGAGCCAGCGGCTGCGGGACTTTGGTGGACGTCGGACCTATGACGAGGAGGCTGATGGGCTCCTGAGCCTCGGTCCCAGCTCATCTCGTTCCTCAGATTCTTGTTTGCATGGGGAGGAGGGAGGAGATGGGCCAAGTTCCCTCTGCCTGGAACGCCCTTCCCCCCCTTCTTCACCTGGCGAACTCCTACTCGTCCTTCAAGACCCAGCTCCAGCGGCATCTCCTCCAGGAAGCCTTCCCTGCTTTCTCAGGCTTTGCCTCTGTGCTCCTGTGCCCTGTGCTTCTCTTTTTCTGTCTCAGCAGTCAGCGTGCAGTCTGTGGCTGTCACCTTCAGTTCTGCTGCCCCCAGACTGTGAGCCCCTCGAGGGCAGGGACCGTGTCACGTGCCTGTCTGTGCTCAGTGCTGTGCCCGCCTGGTCCTGAGTGGGTGTGGAGACGTTTGGTGAACTGAGCAGTGTGGTTATGGTTAGGAGAGAGGAGAGGAGGGGACAGAAGCACGGACCACTCAGAGCACATCCATGAACGAGCTCTGGGGCGAAGGGGGTGGGGACATCAGCAGGAGAAGACGTTGGGGGAGGAGCCCCTCTCCCTAGGGGGGGAAGACCGGAGTTGCAATCCCAATTCCCATCATCCTGCCGGGTGATGTTCAAGTTCAAGTTGGACAAGTTAAAGGTGCTGTCCACCTGTTCCCTCGTCTGTCAGATGGGGTTAATACTGGGTCCTGTCTCGTGGAAGGTTCTGTGGACTCGCGTGCGGTGGTAGGTGCTTGAGCAGGTCAGCAGCCAGTCTTCGCACTTAAACATCCTCTGTGCAAGGAGGACAGCTGGTCCCCGCACTGAACCCACATCCTGGTGCCCGCTTAGAAGGTCGGGGTCGGCGACCACGGCCGAGTCCCCTCTCCTCGAGCTGGGCTCCCGCCAGCTCTGTGTTGGTTTAGTTTGAGGGCAGGAGGTGAGTGGACTCTGGGACCCCCGGTGGTAGGCGGGCTGCCCTGGTGACTACTGCTCTTTGTCCCCAGGTGACCTCCTTCAGCACACCCCCCACCCCGGAGCGGAACAACCGGCCCACCTTCTTCTCCCCATCCCTCAAGAGGAAGGTGCCCCGGAACTGGGTTGTGGAGATGAAGAAGTCTCACTCGGCCAACGACAGCGAGGAGTTCTTCCGCAAGGACGATGGCGGAGGTGACCCAGCCCCTGGGTGCCCCGGCCCCGGCCCCTCAGGCTCCTGTTGGTCCATTCCTTCCTTCGCTCTCAGAGGGCCGGTGCCCGTGGGGTGGGGGTGGACGGTGGACAGGCAGCTCCCTGCCTCCAGGCGCACCCCCTCCCGTGGTCTCTGTTAGGATGTGAGGACCAGGCGGAGACTGCAGTTTCAGGGGTTCGTGCACTTGCTGGTCTGACCTCTCTGCAGGGGGCCGGGGAAGGTGCCGAGGGAGACATGGGCTCTGGCCATTCCCGCGGCTTGTGACTCAGTCCTGGTCCTACTCCAGGGCGCTGGCTTGGCCAGCTCACCCTTGTCGAGAGCCTGCAGTGGGGCCCTGCAGAGTGTCCCCCAGCCTGTCCCCCCTTGCTCTGCTGTCTCCCTTGGGCTCGAGCTCCCCGGCCTCTCCCAGCAAATGGCACCTGCGTGTCATATAATCGGGGCGGCCAGAGGGGCGGCCGTGCTCCCTGCGGGAGCCGGGGGAAGCCAGGAGGGTGTTAAGCGGGGGATTGGCAGAATCAGACTTGAACATTCAAACTCCCGCCCTGTGGTCCCTGTGGGGAGCGGACCCCAGGAGGGCGGGCTGGCTAACTGGTCAACCCCGCCAGTTCTCGGGTGAGGCCCAAGTGTGAGTGCGTCCTGCGCCGTGGTCCCCAGGCTGGCGGGCCGGGACTCCGTGCATGTTCGCTGGGCGGATGACGGGAGGACAGGCCAGTGCGCAGAGACTCGGCCCGGCCTTGCCCGCCCTGGTGTGAGCTCGGCAAGTGCCCTGCTCGTCCCGGCTCAGCCCCACGTCTACAACAAAGCACCAGAAACCACCCCACCCGCCTCCCGGGGTGACCCCTGGACTGGGTGATGATGGCGGGTCATCCCTGCCTCTCCCAGTGTCCTGTGGTCTGTGGAGCCCAGTTCCAGTGGCAGCCGGCCGCAGGGAAGCAGGGAAGTAGCAGTGTAGCAGGCCCAGAGGGAGAGCTCGGAGGGGTGGGTGCCCGCCCTGAGGGAAGGGGCAGAGCAGACGGACAGAAGGGCAGATGTCCCAGGCCAGGGTAATCCAATGCCCAGCACCCGGGCCAGGAAGGAGGCACCGGAGTGGGAGGTGTTCCCGCTCCTCCCTGACCCGGCCTCCCCCCTCTCCAGCTGATCTGCATAATGCCACCAACCTGCGGTCTCGGTCCCTCTCTGGCACGGGGCGGTCCCTGGTCGGGTCCTGGCTGAAGCTGAACAGAGCGGACGGGAATTTCCTCCTCTATGCACACCTGACCTATGTCACTTTGCCGTTGCATCGGATCTTAACAGGTAACGTTGTCCGATGTGCAAAATGAGCCTCACGTCTCGGAGCCAACCTTATCCTGGGCCCTGGGTTTCCCAGTCGGGCCGTGGGGGTGTCCGACCCTGTCCCCTCATTTCAGGTCAGGTCTCACTGGTCACGCCTCCTGTGGGTCTCTGGGGAAGCCGTAGCCCCTAAAGGTGTCTCTGTGTAGAGCACTCCAGCGCCCCCTCCTGTCCGAGTGCCTGCAGACCCCAGGTGTGTGGTCCCAGGGTGCTGTGCAGCTGCCCCGAGCCCGCGCCTCGTCCCTGTCTGACGGGGAGGACCACAGGTTGCTGCCTTCGAGGCTAGAGGTGGAGACGTGTGAATCACTTAGCATGGGCTGGCTTCCGAAATTCCCCATCTCCTCTGCCCTCCTTCCACCCCAGACATCCTGGAAGTTCGGCAGAAGCCCATCCTGATGACCTAGCTGTGTGTGGAGCCCGCAGGGAGCCTGGCCCGGCCCCGGCAGTACTGCCAAGTGCCTACCTGTCCACCGCCACCGGGGTCTTCTGTGACAACCCAGCGCCGGAGCCGGAGCCAGGCGGGGCCACTCGACCCCTGGGGCCAGGGCCGACTCCTCGAACACCAGCCCAAACTGAAGTGCCTCTTTCTCCCTCCCGCTGGCTCTGCTCCTGCCCTGCGCCCACCCACCCGTCACCCCCGCCCACCTCTGGAGAGCCCTCTGCACCCAAAGACGACCACAGGCGCCACGAGGCCGTGAGAGCAAAGGAGCAGCCGCGCCCACTATGCCCAGACCCGCCCACCCACGTGCCGTCCCCTGCGAGCGCCGGAGACCACCCCCTGGGGCGTGCGGCGTGCACTGCCAGCACTTCCTCGGGGGCCGGTCTCAGACTGCAATGCCGTGCCAGTGAGCTTCAGCATCCGACGTGGTCCTGGCATGTCCCTCCCTGGTGTGCTCCCACGGGGGTAACTGGGGAGACGGGGACACAGCTGTTCGGTGGTGTGGCCCTGGGCTGGGAACACTGCGCCCCACACCCGGCTCCAGAAAGGCCTCGAGCTGAGCAGACAGGCCCTGATCCCGCCAGAATGGCCTTTGCTTCCAGCCAAAGAGCACCACCAACACACACCTCCAACCTGGAGACGTCGCTCTGTGCCTCGGTGGCCGGAGCCCCAGAATGTGGACTCTGAGGGCAGGTGGGAGGGCTTGGGACCAGACAAGAGGATGGGATCTCTGCCAAAGGTGGACGGTGATGGTGGGGTTGGCACGCTCCCAGAAGGTTCTAGTAGAACCTCTGTCCTCGGGGGGCCAGGAGGAGGGGGATAGGGTGTTTCATCTCTAGTTTTCTAGAGCTGACTTCCTTCACTTGAGTGCTGGTCCCATTTCTCAGACCAGCTCACTGAGGCAACAAGGAATTGGCTTCCCTGTGGCCGGTCTGGCCAGGTGTGAGTGGCCCTCTCCCCCTGGGCTTGCCCCTGGCCTCATGCCAGCAGGATTTCCACCTGTGGTGACCCACGAGCCTTCTTGAGAGCAGAAGTGTGGCCCAGCCCCCTGGGAAGGAACTGTCAGCAGGTCTCTCGTGGTCCTGTGTTTGATGTCCCCAGGAATATCTGGGGGGTTCCTGCTGTGCACTTAGAGGTCCTTGGGGGCCCAGAACAGGAATTGGAGGGGCTTGTTCTCCCAGCTGCTTGTATTCTGTGCTCCAAGAGTTCGCACTGGGCCCCGAAACAGGGACTACTTTGGGGTTTTCTCTAGATTTTGTATGCTGTTATTAAAAGCGAGCTATTGCATTTCATTCTGCCTCAATTTGCCCACCTGTAAAATGGGGCTGATACCACCTACCTCACTGAAGTCTCCCAAGGTTCCAGTACACGATTGGGCCAGGGTGCAATCGCCAGCCATTCTGCATCACTGGGGTCAGGTGTCAGATTCTCTGGGTACGTACCGCCCCCTCCGCCGCCCTCCTCCTCACCCGTCCCAGAAGACGTGTGCCAGGGTTGGGTCTGCGCGTTCCCGCCGCCTCCGACCTGCGCGACTTCCCAGGGCAGCAGAGTCGGTGCGGCCCGGAGCTGCGTCCAAGGTGGCTCTTCAGGAACCTTTCTCCCTGGGTCTCGGGTCCGCGGCCTGGAACTCAGTTCTTGGGAGAAGTGTGGTCCTGGGGTAGCTTCCGTGGAAGAACGAGGCAGTTCGTCATGTGCAAAGGACAGGGCCCCTTCTCCGTCTCTGCGGTGAGGGGCTCGAGCAGGTTCCCCCACTGGAGCCAGAAATCGGCCCCGCGCTGAGGCTTGGCCACCACCCTGGCAGGGCCCTGGGCGGCTCAGGATCCTCTGTCCCGTCTGCCTTGCGGGGTGTCGAGGGCCAGTTGCAGTAACGTGAAAATGCTTTGCAGAACTTAGACGTGTGCCGATGGCGGGTTTTGAGAGCTCACACCTTGTTTGTACAGCACGTGGACAGGTGCACACAGCCGGCGGGCTGCGTCGTGTCCCACACGAAGGCAGCACCACCTGGCACGAGCAGGCCTGTCACTGTCCCAACTTACCGATGACACAGCCAGAGAGGTTAAGTGAACCGCCCAAGGTCAAAGAGCAAGCCCTGAGGGCAGGAGGGCGGCATGCCCTGGCACCGCTGCCCAGGACAGACGGACGAGCGGGTGGTGGAATCGGCCTTTGTCTTTAAGTCCTCCTACAGGTCCTTCTGATACTGAATTTAAAACGTGCTCAGAGGTGCTTGGTAACTAGGCAGTAAAGCTGAGGTTGTTTCTTCCAAGTGACAAATGGCATCAGTAACAAACAGGAACAAGTGACAAGACCAGAACCAGCGGTGGGTCCTGGTGTGGATACATTTTTACTTCTTGCGAGGCCACCTTTGATTTTCTGGGGACACGCCTCCGGGGTTATGCAGGGATGACAGAGCAGGTGCGCTTCTTAGATGAGAATTGGAATTAGTAATGTCCCTTTGAAGAAACCCAGGTGTCACATTTTAGGACATTAATAAGAAGGTTATCTCTCTTTTTTAATTAAAAGAAATGTCCTGGTTTAAGAGTCTGGCAGGTAACCGTGTCCGTTTACAGCGTCCGGCCCCTGGACGTCGAGGCAGCTTCTGGCCCTCTGTTCTGAGGTGTTGCTGGAACTTCCAGTTGCCAGTGGAAACAGCCTCCTCGTTTGAAAAGAAGGTTATTTCAAGCAAGTACCGGAGAAGTGTTCAAAGAATACAAAAAGAAGCAGAAGTAGTCTAGCGCCCTGTCCACCTGGAGACGGGGAGTTTTCCAGTGAGTCGAATCCATGCCAACATTCAGACTTTTCAAAAGGACCGAGTACATCGCCAGGAATCTGGGTTCTCTCTGGAACTCTGATAGGAAAGATGCAGGCACGTTCCTGGTGGGATTTCCCCTGAAGAATCTGGAGGGAATTACACCAGGATCTATTTTTGTTGTTTCGATCACAAAGACTAGTTAGTAGACTTTTAAAAATATATATTTTTAGTTGATTTCTAGAGAGAGAGGAAGGGAGAAGGGGAAAGAGAGAAAGAGAGAAACATTGACTGGGCTGCCTGCCGCATGCCCCCTATCGGGGATCAAGCCTGCAACCTCGGTATGTGCCCCAACTGGGAATCAAACTGGGGACCTTTCAATGTACAGGATGACACCCAGCCAACTGAGCCACACTGGCCAGGGCTACTTAGTAGACTTTTAATTGATTTTTTTTTTTTTAGAGAAACATCGATATGAGAAACATCGATCGGCTGCCTCCTGCACGCCCCCTACTGGGGCTTGAGCCCCCAACCCAGGCATGTGCCCTGACTGGGAATTGAACCGGGACCTCTCAGTCCATGAAAGATGCTCCATCCCACTGAGCCACACCGGCTGGGCTAGTTAGTAGACTTTTGAAGAATGAAATATTTTTTCCATTAAAAGACATTCCATGGGGCAGTCCCTATGCAGTTGGTATATTCTAATGACTGACTTGAGAAAACTACATTTGACATTGATATGGTTTTAAATCACGGGCCAAAATTCTTTAAAGGCTCACATATTACAAATCTGCCAGCTTTTTGATGAGACTTAGTAGGCTTCTTATCGATATCCTGTTCCGTTTTCCAACTTGGCCTAATTTAGTTTTACATTCAGTTTCAAAAACCAGTATCTTTTGACGTGACGTCGATTCTTCCTGTTCAGGCTTCCTCTCTTCTTGATTCCAGAAAACAAAATTACTTCTCTTTTTTAAAAAACACCCTAGCAGGACAGGCTCAGACACGAAAATCAAGTGCTGGCTGCCATCTGGCCCGTGAGCTCGAACATCCAGAGGGCCCTTTGGAGGTGTGGCCGCCGCCCAGGAGCGTGCTCTCCCGGCCCGGCGGCCAGCGTCCACCTCGCCTTCGGGAGCCAGCCGGTGGGAGCCGGGCCAGGTGCCTGGGGCTTCCCTTTCCCTTTCCACTCAGGGACTTGGCACTGACATGGCCCAGCGAGTGGCCTGGGGTTGAGTTCAGAGTCCCGCCGTGGGCAGCATCTCAGAAGTGAAGCCACGGACACAGTATGTGCTGTTTTCTAGTGTCCTCAAGGCCATCAGGTGTCGTCGGGCTCCCAGCCTTGGGCTCAGCAGATCTGAAACAGCAGCCACCCCCACCGCTGGACACGCACAGTCTCACCTCCCTTTCTTTTGTCCCCACTTCACAGAAGGTCGGGCGATGTGGGTGTAAACAAATACCAGTCTCTGTGCTTTCCAAACGAATTCTCTGTGAGAACGCTGAGACCTACGAGGAAACCTGTTGAGATGGTTCACTCCTCTGAGACGTAACTAAAGTGATTTGTGTGCAATCTGTTTTAGCAAAAGCACAGTGGCAAACACCGAATACGCTCAGACCGCATCCTCAGTGGCGTTTCCGTCCATGCTGTCGGAGCTCCCAGGTTAGCCGTCTTCCACGTACGGGCAGTCCTTTCGCGGCCGTGGCCGTGGCCGTGGCCGGCTCTCAGCTGTGCTTGCGGGGTTGCGTTTCTATTGAAAGTTGATTTGCATGTTGAGTATTACATTTATTTTTTTTCTTCCGTGTCTTCCTCTGATGAATCTGTACTTAGTTATTTTTTTCTTCTTCTATACAGATACTACAGCAATGTGGTAACTTAGCAATGGAACCTTACTTTGCCCCCAAAGATTTCTTAAACTTTTTGTGGGGTGTTTTTGCACTGTTGTTGGAGACGGACAGAAATCAGCCTCTGCCCGGCCTCAGCTGTCTTGGGTCAGCCAGGGGGTTGGCCCCCGGCTTCGGTGTGGTCAGATGCTGTGTTTGCGAAATTAAATCAGAAGAGATGCATTTCAGCCGTAGCTCTCAGCCTCTGTAAGTAGGATACAGCTTTTCCGTGTGTTACCAAGGCTCCGCCTCTCAGAGAGCCCTCGGGAGTGGAAAGATGGCTAGACTAGCAGCCGGGCCCCGAGTTCGAGTGTTGGCAGGCTCCCAACTAGCCACCTGTCTTTCAGAAGCTGGTGTTTGGACTGTGGGCTCTCTCTTGCCTTGCTCCGCCATTGAGCACACTGACACTGAGCACGTCCCCACACCTCGCTGACTACCAGGGTCTGCTGCTGCAGGTTCATCGTAGACGGCGCACCGTGAGCGACTTCCCGCGCAGTGCTTTTCCTTCCCATGGTCAAATGAAGTCTGTGTCCCAAGGCAGGGTGGAGGGCCTAAGACACTGCAGAAAGTCACAGAATAGAAAAAAGGGGGTCTGGGAGAAACACACACACACACACACACACCTAGAAATACAGTAAGGGCACACATCAAGTTGGCACCTCTTAGAAACTGACCGTTAGAAACATCCTAAGCTGGAATTTGGTGAAGCGGCCTCGCCAGGGCAGACTATGAGCTGGTGGCTATGAAGCAGGCAGTTTGGTAGGTGAAAAAGGTGTCTTTGCCGTCCCGATCAAACCCCCTTCTTGTTAAAAACAATTAGGTCTTTTGAAAGTTGTCACCTGAAAACGTTTGATATTTGGGGGAGTTTCTCCCCTGGAAGCTGCCTACTCATTCCTGTGTATCGCCTACTCCTGATTGGTTTCAGCTCTTTGATTCTGAACTAGATGAACTTTTAGGAATGACTGTCATGCCCCAGCTGAGGAAGCCATGTGGACGGGAGGGGAGACCTTCGGGAATGTTATGCTGGGAGGAGGGGAAGTGTAAGCGAACCCACCCAACCACACAGCTCACTGTATATATACATGTTGAATGTGTACACATGCTGTCCTTCGTGCTTGATTGTGAAAATGACACAACAGCTGGGACATTTCTATGCGGAAGGGGAATATTTGTTCTGGGGGATGATAAAAGACTTCTTTTGCTTACAGCCTCATGTTGAATTTCCTCCCAACTTGGCCTGGACATGAGCCCACAGGTTTAACAAGATATTTCTTCCCTGTATGTGGATCAAGGGTCTTTCATCTTGGAATCTGACTTTAATAAAACCGTTGGATTGCTGTTTGAAATAACCATGGTGGTTCGTAAACTTGAACGATACTTGAATAAACAATTTTGTTCAAAGGGTTTTAGGCAGTTCCAGAAACCAAGTGCAGCCCTTGATGGGGTACACACACCCATAGCTGTGTGGTCCGGGGTCCCTCCAAGCTGCATCTCAGCCCCGGGGCTGCTGTCTGAACCTGGGCTGGGCTCCCTCCCTGCCACCTGCCTCCCGGGTGCAGGGAGGGTCACAGAGACGTAGGCACAAGGGCTGGGGGAGCTCTGCAGGCCGAGAGCCACCACTGTTTCTGCCCCACACTGTGCCCAGAGGGCATGCCACAGGGTATCTTTAAACTCGAGGCAAAAGGGAGCACACATGAGCCCAGTGGTTCTCGACCTGAGTCTGTATCATCACTCGTCGAAACCCTGAAGTGGTCTGGAACTAGATGGTGGTGACGGCTGGACAGCTCTGAATATACTCCAAGCGACCGAATTGAACACTAAGAGTGAACTTTGTAGTGTGTCAGTTACATCGTAGTAAAAACCAAACAACAGGCCGGCAGTGTGGCTCCGTGGTTGAGCGTCGACCCTGCACCTACCAAGAGGTCGCCGGTTCGGTTCCTGGCCAGGGCACATGCCCAGGTCGTGGGCCTGATCCCCAGTGCGGGGCGTGCAGGAGGCGGCCAGTGGATGTTTCCATCCCTCACTACCTCTCCCTTCCTCTCTCTCAAATCCATAAAGAGCAAGCAACATGCTGGCCTCGCCGGCCCTGACAAGCGGGTCTGGGGTGGGGCCCGGGATGTCCGAGTCCCTTGGGCTGCTGCACCCAGGGCCACACTTGAGAACCATGTGGCAGCTCGGCCCCTCAGCGGAGGACCTAACAGAGCCTCCATTAGACGTTATCGGCTCAGGAGAAACTGATGGGCAAGTTAGTCTCCACAGTATCTTCTTTATCAGGACACATCTCTAACCCTTAGGGCCAGTGCTGAACAACTCGGGAAGCTAACAAATCCTACACTTCCGTCAAGGCCTTAGTAGTGATTTTCCTAAAGCACTGAAAATTTACAATTACACAAACTCAAAATGTATTTTTTCCTGATCATTTTGATTCTCTTAGTTTTAAAATATCCTTCAGAGGGCTGAATTTTCACTGACACAGATCCCAACTCCACTCGCTCCTGTAAGAAACGGGACTGTCTGAGCTTGCTTCTCCATCACCCACGCGGAGCCGGGTGCGGGGGCCGCAGGCCAGCAACACAGAAGGCGCGGAGACGGCTTCGGACAGCAGCCGAGGAGCTGCGGCCCCGTTCTCACCGGTGAATGGGAATCTGACGGGGTTTGGAAGTCGCCGTCCCTCCGCCCTCCGAGCCCAGGAGGTTCTGGGCACTGCCCTGCGGGCCTCGCCTCCGCTCTGCTGGACCCGTATCAGCGCCGGGGTGTCACGGGTACACGAAATGTCAAACACGGATTCTGTTTCCTTCCATTTATTCACATTTCATGGATTGTTACATGTCTTCAATGGGTTCATTCAAAAGTAATACAAACTGAGATGACATGGTCTGACAATTCAAGTACTTAAAAAACAATTTCCTGCTTAAAATAGAAAGCAAACAATTTATGCATTTGATTGCTAGGAAGTAAGTGTTCCATCTCCGTCATGACTGCCTGCCAGAGTCCTCAGTCCTCCCGACGGCCCAGCCGAGCGCCCCACACGGCCTGTGCTCAGTGCGGACTGGAAGACCAGCTTGCCGGGCGGCTCAGTCACCTGCGGCCACCACAGGTCAGCCCGGCTGCCCCGTGGGGTCCCACATCCAGAACAGAAGGGCGCCACTTGGCTCACAAACCTGGGTGTGCCCTGCGCTCGCAGGTGGACTGTTCTGGACTGACTGGCAAAGGCCCCCAAACGCAAGCCCCACCTTTCACGTGACAGCAGACAGGCCTGCAGTGGGCACTGGGCCGAGCGACACAGGGACAGCAGGCAGATGTTTCTGGCTGCAGCATATCAGAGACGGGCCTTGGAATGAAGGCTGCAGAGCAGCCATCCCTTTAGGGAACCAGCCCCGGAACAGTCAGACTCGGCCTTCCCCGGGCAGCACAGCCCGGACGTGAGACCCTGGACACATGCTTCCCGTCTAGCTGGACAACGAAGCCGCACGCAGCGGGCTCTGCCCCGAAGGAAGGGGTGGGCACACGCCGGCTCGGAAAAGGCCACCGGGACGCCCCGTGTTCGTCACGGTGCAACGATCCCTGATTTGGAACGAAAGACATATACACACCTCACTTTAGGCCACGCGCAGGAGACACTTGATAGGTTCTTAAACCAAAACAGAAAATTTCAGTCCATCTTTCAACACTGTAAGACTTGTTTCTAATACTTTGTTAAAAATGAATGTAACCCCAAGGCGCCGAGCTAGCTATCCACACACCGGGGAAGGAGCGGCAAGCCCTCCCCGAGTCACACACAGGGATTTAGGGTTTCGGTAAAACCCACACATTCTCCGGCGCTTTGAAAGCGGCGCCTGTTCAAGTGGAGACCAGCATGTTCCTGAAGCATGAACTGTAAGAAAATATCACATTTTGAGTTGTACACACAGCACATTTTCCCGATTTTCACTTTAACAGGGAGTCTTGGCAGCAGGAATTTTCTGGGAATGTTAGGAGAGAAAGCCACACATACCCACCACGAATTCTCAGAGACTGTAAACTATTCTTGCAGGGCTGCTGGGGGTGAGCAGCCGGGACCTCCCCGCCCCTTAGCTGAGCAGCCCACAGCCTTGCAGAGGCGAACAGAACAACGCACCGCCACCAAAGCGTTCCTGCAGATGCCTGCTGAGAGTCGCTGTTCCGGGTGGGACCACGGGACACGGGAGCCACAGCAACGTGGGAAGCTGTTCCCTGCATCTCCTCATCCTGACAGCTGGGTACACTGGATACACCAGTGCACACAGAGGGGATCAGAGTTACTGTAACAGCATCAACCTTGTTTATTATAAATCATCTGTAACAAAAGCACATGAATAATCTCAATGCTAAACAGTAAATCAAAAGCCTCGGCCACGTGCCCCGAGGTCTCGAGAGCTGTGGGACCACATCCCATCACAGCACGCACACCTCTGCGTGAATTTATCCAGTCACACTGAGCTGAGCTCTCCCACTGCAGTTAAACAAGAAGCTCATGGTCACATCGGCCAAACTACCCGATCTTGAGTATGTAAGAGTTAACATATTTGATCATAAAAGTTTCCCCACCCCCCCCTTACATCTAAAAATGGTTTTTTTAAAAAAAGCAACTATCCTATTTACACTTATTTTGACTCCTCTTTCCCCAATCAGAACATACAAGGCCCTGAGCCTTCCACAGGAGCCCCGGCGCGGCACTAAGCCAGCCAGGAACACGGCCATGGCGACACTCAGCCACCCTCCTGGCGTGCCCAGCCCTCGAACGCGAGCAGGCACTGCCTCCCGGCGTGAAGACACGCGCATTCCTGTGCCAGCCACGGCTCCCTTCCACACGGACACCCCGAACAGTCTCACTCTTACAAAAGGAAGCGGAAACTGCAGACACCAGCTCGGCCCTCCTGCAGTCCAGGTCCCAGGCGCGCGCACCCGCGGTACTCTCCACCGCGCCTGGCGTGGTTCCGGCCTCATTCACGGCTCGCGCGGACACAGCTCTCCTGACCTCGGCACTGAGTGGCTCCAGACCCACAGCTCGCCGCGGTACAGTGACTGAGTGCCGCTCCCTGTTGCAGTAGGGTCTAACTCTGACAACTTCTCTATATGGCTCACGCTACACGCTACGGAATCTGCTTCTAGCCCTCACTCCTCGCAACTCCGTCCGCTGTCCCCGGGGTACAGAAGTACCAGCGTGAACGAGCGAACGTCAGAACCAAACAAGCTACTCGTTTCCTTTTAAAAGGAAAAGCAGTCCCAACCCTGCACAGCAGCCTCGGGGGCGAAGGGGGCGTGTCCGCCGCAGGCGGCACCCAGTGCCCACGGGCAGCTCTAAGGAACACTTGAGAGCAAGCGCACACCCCGGCCCCGCACGCAGCGGCCTCCCCTGCGGGGGCGCCGTCCTCAGGCCCGCCAGGCCCAGCACAGGCTGCAGGCTCGGCCCCTGCGGGCACCCGCGACAGGAGCCACCCGCGACAGGAGCCACCCGCGACAGGAGCCTCGCCCAAACCCACTGGTCAGAAAAGGCTTGAGGAAATCCTATCGATACCCTGATTTCAGTCCATTAAGAAACCACTTGTGGTTAGTTTAATAAATGAACATTAAAAATCTTTCCCAAAATTTCTTTGAAATGTATTTTACACACTAGACAGTTCTTTAAGAAGGGAGCATACAGCTTCTTGACACTAAATGTTAAAGGTTTTATTGGCCATATTAATCTTCCTCACAAAAGTTTTAAGTTATCTAGAAGGTCTTAGAGTGTCAATGAGAAGAAAAGCGACTCCCGGGGCGGTGGGGCAGCGGCAGCTCAGGCCCCCTTCTTCTCCAGCAGGACCCCGTGCAGCTCGTCCGCGTCCTCGCTGGTTTTGACCCGAATCAGCATGGTGACTGGCGTGGTGGCATTCTTCTCATCCACGGGGGGGTTGGGGACACACACAATCAGCACATTGTTCTTCCCTGTCCGGGTGCACGGCATGTTGGGTGGGATCAGGACGTTCAGCAGTATGTTGCCTGTGTTTAAAGAAACAGAAGAATCATACAAAGTACAGCTCCAGGAAGCTGGAGTTCAGATGCTAAGCACTGCACACCGAGGCCACGTACCCTCCAAGGACTGACGACGGGCCACAGGGAGGGCACAGAAGTGGGTATGCTCCTGATGCCCGGGCCAGCACGGTGTCCCCAGAGGACACCGACAGGACTGGACTCAACTGGACTTCAGAGGAGCCGCCTCTGCCCACCTCCCACCAGGCCTCACTGCAGCCTGCCCACTGTCTCATATCGGATGGGCACATGGGCAGGTCCGAGTCTCCACTAGGTCATTCAAACGGAAGAGTGGGGAGCAAAGAGACGTGTCCCAGAGGCCGGCTCGGCTCACCGGGTAAGAGCAGACCCAGCAGTCAAGCTCACAGGAAAGAAACAGCCTCACAGAAGTTTTGTTCCGCAGCCCTGCCTGGTGTGGCCACCACTTCCTTAGACCTGCTCGCCCTCCGAAGCTCTCCCCCTCCACTGGACTGTTTCAGGGTAAAGCGCAGGGCGGGCAGAAGGGTGTGTATTCATGATCATTTGCTATATGAAAAGGGTTCCCTGAAATAATCCCCTTGTTAATATTACACCATCCAATCTACCCCCAGCCTCTTACCTCCAGCCATTTTCTAACACAAAGGAACATGACAACCACTTTGTTTACTTCCTGCTATAGCTTAACAGTGCATTTTCTTCTACACTGTTCCCCACACTCAGATACGTCCGGAAAGAATCCGTAAGTATAGCATGAATTTGGCCTGAACGATCTCGTCTGTTCTAAAACCCGCACCAATATACTTGAAAATCCCAGAGACGGAAAGGAGCAAGGTGTACCACGTGACTGTGACGCTGCGCCACCTGGGAGAAAAGGCACCTACCTAAGTTGGTGTCTGCCCGCACTAACAGCTGTGTCTTCTGATTTGCTGTAGGTTTTAGATGCAGAGTACCTACACCCTTTTCTTTAAATTCATTGTCTTTCTTGTAAAAAAGTTTACACCTATGGAGAAACACAATAGGTAGTCAGACACGCAATGACAAATCATGTCAGTTTTCTAACAGCCACTATTCATGCCTGTATGGAAAAGCTCCTCAATGAGACAGAGGAAGCTCCGGGATCCATCTCTTATGGACCCGGACTGGGTCTGGGCACAAACCAGAGTAAGAAAATCTGGTTAGATATTTATTCTAGAACCTCTTCCCTATTTTTTCAGATTATTACATAGTGGGTCCCATGTAACTTTTTTCTTTTAATCCTCACCCGAGGATATATTTCCATTTATCTTCAGACAGAGCAGGAAGGAGGGAGAGAGGATGAGAAAAACATCGATGTGAGAGAAACATATCAATTGGTTGCCACCGGCACAACCCCAACCAGGGCTGGGGATGAACCACAACCAAGGTACGTGCCCTTGACCGGAATCAAATCCGCGACTCCTTGGTCCGTGGGCCAACGCTCTGAAATAACAGCTGAGCCAAACTGGCCAGGGCCCCATGTAACCTTTTTTAAAAAAATCCTCACCTGAGGATACTTTTCCATCTATCTCCAGATTTGGGGGGTGGGGGGGGGGCAGAGAGGGGAGGAGGGAGGGAGGAGAGGAGGGAGGGAGAGAGAAACACCAACGTGAGAGAGACACATTAATTGGCTGCCTCCCGCATGACCAGGACCAGAGCCAGGAACCGAACCGCAAATGAGGTAGGTGCCCTTGATTGGAAATGAACCGGTGACTCTTTGGTCCTTGGGCCGATGTTCTAACCATTGAGCAAAACTGGCCAGGGCCCATTAACTTTTTAAATAACTTTCTGAAACTACCTTTCTCAAGACAATAAAAATCACAGCCACACACTCTATAAACCCCACCCCTGGTCTGGTCTTGACCGGGAATCAAACCAGGACCTCTCAGTCCATGGGATGACGCTCAATCCACTGAGCCATACTAGCCAGGCATAGTCTGGTCTTTTAAGGACAAGAACAAATACAGGACAAAACACTACCTGGCAGCCCCCCCCCCGCATCTGTTATTTCTGAATTCTCTCCAGGGCGACTCCAGATCACCCTAATGCCTATGCAAAGACCTCCCAGCTCCTTGGGTTATTCATAAACAAATCGAAGCCACTGCCCACTCCTTTCTGTCACCTGTGTAAACACATTTAAAACGGCAAGAGGAATTGTTAGCCTCTCTTAAAAGTTCTCAAAAGTAACACTTGGAAATCTCGTAAGATATGGTGATTTGTATTATGAAAACTACTGACTCATTAGTCTGAAATTTTTCTATTAGAAAAATACATCTAGGGAAGCTTCTAAAATGGCAAAAATGTTTTCCAGTAACTATCTCTTAAAGGTACTAATTTCATTCCACTGAGAGAGAACTCAGAGTTTCCCTCTGCTTTCTTCTAAAAGCTGCAGCTCTCATTTAAAAACAAAAGCAGATCAAATACACATACAGGGACGGAAGGGTATCTGACTTTGGGCGGTGAACACAAGCAATCTACAGACGATGGACCCCAGAACTGTGCACCTGAAATCTGTATTTGTTTTATTAACCAATGTCACCCCAATAGATTAAAAAACAAAACAGCCCTCACTGGCGGCGGAAGACAGTGTTCACAGCCCTAACGGAAAGGATGACTGTGCAGAACTGCGAGAAAACCACGAAGGCCAACCAGCCTCCAGGACAGGACAGACGCCGCGGGATGCAGAGCAGGAGTGAAACCGAACCTGGGCAGCGACTGGCTGCCTTTCCTGTGGGAACGAAGGAGGGAGAAAAGGGAGAGGAGAGAAAGGACAGAAAGGACAGAAGGACAGCTGAGGGGCAGGAGGGCAAAGGAAAGGCCCTCTCTACTGCATTTACAAGCAGAAGAGCTGGGTCGGCAGAAAAGAGAAGACTGTGCCCAGGACATCTGTCGAATCTGTTTTTACATAAACAGGAATTCTTCCTCGTTCCAGTTTGGAGGAGGCACAGCCTGACCCCAGAACGGGACGCTCGGTAAATTCTGTGAGACGACGTCACCCCACTCTCTCCAGCCAGAAGCCTCTGTCTGAAAACACTTGCATCAAGAGGATCCCTCTGACTACTACTTACTTTTTGGAGTAAAAAGCATCTTCTTCTTTTACCTCAGTAACTACTACTTTGGGCGGCTCATCATTTTCTTCTTCGTCTCCACCTTTCATAAAAACAACACTAGTTCAGTAAGATTCAAATCAAGAGCTTGAAATGTGATCAAGGAAGCTTGTTATCCATCCCCATTTCAACCTAAAAATTCCATGCAAACGGGTATCAAATTGTGTGTATGTATGAGTGTTGGGGGGAGGGGTGCGCCCACTAGATTTTAATTATTTTGTAAAACAGAACGATTTTAATGGGAACACACCTCTCCCTTCTATCAGTTAGAAAGTCTTGCTGACTATTCCATGGCCCCCAGGCTAAAAGCTTCTGCAGTCATGTATACAGACGTGCTAACCCTTGGAGGGGCTCTGCTTGCCCTTGCGCTTCGCTAAGACAGCCCCTTACCAGAAGGGGACTCTCCCCAGGAGAGGAGGAAGTGTGCGTGGTTCATCGAAGACCTGCAGGAACCTCACACAGACTCCCAGCACTAGGGTCAGGAGAGTAGCCATCTTCCCCAGAGCCTGCAGGCCAAGGGTCCATCACTTCTTGCCCCTCTCACTTCCACTTCCCTTCACGTAAAGAAGCCTGGACTTCGTACTTTAAGATGGAGTTGAGGTTGAGTCTCCCATCTTTTCGGTTGGCACCTTCTTGATCAATAAGCCTTCCCTTCCTCCCAACTCTGATGTTGGAAGCTTCAGGCACATGGACTAGTAACAACACTTACGTAGACTCAGATCACCACTGGAAGATTAAAATCTCGGATATGCCTCTAACACCTTCATTCCCAAACCTGCATCATGCCAAGGAACAGTCAACATCACTATTGATGTTGGGGCATGATGGTGGTGAGGAAAAAAACAATGTTTTACAAGGCACGCTGGCAGAGAAATGACTCCAAAGCCAAGTGTAAGTAACTCAAACTTCACCCGAACAGCACGCCTCTCGAGTTCTGGCACCCTCCCCGCACTGCGCCGGAACAGCACTTCCTTTCACTCCGACCCAGCCGCAGGGGAGAGTGAAGGTGCACAATAAGGACAAATACCATCCTCTTAAAGAGAAAGGCAGTCGCAGCCCCACAGAACTCTCTAAGTTAAAAAGCAACTCTAAGAGAAACAATTTTGGTGCTCAAACAATTCAACTGTGGACAAAAAGAAGCCATATGCTAACCTGACAGGATCAGGGAAGGCCTGCATGGCGGCCTTCCAAACTTCGAGACCTATAGGAACCACAAAGGATGGTCTGAAGTTAACACTTAACTAATCCTGTCCTAGGCTGGCATCATCCATGACAAAAGCCATGGTTCTCAAACTGGTGTGCCATAGAATCTCCAGTTTTCTTTTTAGATAAACATCCTGGGACTCCCGTTAGGTTCTCTAGGGTGGGCCCAGGAAGTTGAGATTTGAACAAGCTCTCAAAGTCCTTCTGATGCAAAAACTGTGACAAACACCAGATAAGCAGTAAGTGCTTTACTGAGGGGCTTCCCGCAGAGATGGAGACTCAACTCAGATTCCACATCCCTGTCCCTGTGACTGCCCCAGGCCTGGGACAGACTCTCCATCCACCCTACTGGGGCAGAGAAGAAAGAAACGCAGAGAGATTCATACTGACAAGTATCTTCACAGACATTATTTGTTCATCACCTCCACGTGAGGAAGAGGGATTATGCGTAACCCCCTTTTCAGAGAGCTAAGGAGGCGTGAGTGGAGGGGCTAGGACTAAGACCCAAGCTCTTTGCCTTGCCTGGGGCACTAACACTACACACAGCAGAAAGTTCTGGAGAGGTTGCTACAATCCAGACATGTCATGGTTAATTTGTTCCCCATGACTATGAAAAGTCTACCTTTTAAAATTTATAGTACTGCTTTGCTCTGTGACTATTTATAACCAGATCTCCCAAATACAAATAATTCAGTGGATGTTCATGATAAACTTTCAATAAAACACAATTTTTCAAAATATGCTAATTCACTTAAATCTTTTTTATATGCAAGCCATGCGTTCGATACTTTTCAGCCACTGTGCCAGATAATTTCATATTGTTAATTTTAATTTTTATATTCCTAATCCTCATAATAACCCTATCAAACAGGCCTTACTCAGTCTTGCAGATAAGAGAGCCGAGACCCAGACATTCAACCCTGCCCAGGACCACACGGCTCAGATGACGGCGCCGCGTCTCCGTCCACTCAACACAAACATCGCACCCAGGCCTGAGCTGGCCGCCGCGGAGGCGTCACACTCACCTTTGCCGCCACCTGCTTGGCTCTCCAGCCCCGTAACTGCGAACGGTGAGCACAGTGGTTTACTCTGGGTAACATCTTTGCCAAATAAACTGGAGTTTCCAGAAGAAAATGAAAACCCAGCCAGGGGGCCAGAGTTTAACGAGCCCAAAACAGAACCATCGATTTTCTTGCCGAAATTAAACGAGGCACTGGTTGCTCCTAGTGATGGGTCCCCCTTTTTTTCAGGCACAGCTTCCGTCTTCTTTTCAGAGGCACCCTCTGATTTGTCACTGTGAAACAAAAACGTCGATTCTTGCTGCGACTTTGCTGAACCAAACAGGGCGGGAGACTGCGTGTCGAGCGCCATTTTGCTGGACTCCCTTTCCGGGCCGCCGCCGTCGCTGCGCTGCTGCTCGATGCCCGCCAAGTAGCTCTCGTAGTCCTTGAAGACGGGCGTCAGGTCGCACAGCGGGTTCGCGTTCACGTGCTTCACTATCCAGTCCCGCACACAGCAGTTCAAGGCCGCCAGCTGCTTGTGGTAGGGGGTCCCGTGGGGGGCTGGGCTCGCGGCAAGGCCAGAGGACGAGGGCTGCGGCCGGTCACCGTTGGTTTTGGGATTTGAAATCTTATTGTCAACCAAGGAAGCAGGGCCATTTGCAGCGATAGATCCTAGAGAAAATCCAAGTTTTAAGATTTACTTAGAAGATGATTTGACTTCACACATTTAGATTTTTATATCACTTTGCATTTTCCACCTTTATTGCATCCCATTTTTTGTGACAGTTCAGGTATGTGCACATCTAATATTTAGGATCTGGTCATCACAAAATTCAATGAAATCAAATTTTTATACAAGAATAGTATCTATTATATGTTTGCATCAGTAATTTTAAAATACTCGTTTCCTTCAAAAAGATGCCCATTTCCCTCAGAACTGTCGAAATACTATTAGTGTAAAACTTAATCCCCAAGGTTCCAGGAATGAACACATATTAATGCAGTTAAAATCTTAACAGAAGGTGCTTATTTTAATCACACTAAACATTCTGCCTCATTAAAATGAAATAGTACACACTTTTAGAATAACTAGCTAAGTACAATCCAACCCTCCGGGATCATTTCCAAGAATCCAAGATTTTAACCCATGATCCCATTCTCTATTGCTAATCCCAAGAGTTCTTGACTAATTTCCTCAAGACAAGACCAGGCAATCAACACATCCTGGGGAAATCTAGACGGGAGGACCCCTAGGTTCCTGGAAGGTCTGTGCCACACAGTCTTTACAGCAGCACACACACCAGCCAGGAGGGGACGGGAAAGCAAACCTTTACAGCATGTACACACAGCAGCCAGGAGGGGACGGGAAAGCAGACCTTTACAGCATGTACACACAGCAGCCAGGAGGGGACGGGAAAGCAGACCTTTACAGCATGTACACACAGCAGCCAGGAGGGGATGGGAAGGCAGGCCTTTACAGCATGTACACACAGCAGCCAGGAGGGGACGGGAAGGCAGGCCTTTACAGCATGTACACACATCAGCCAGGAGGGGACGGGAAGGCAGGCCTTTACAGCATGTACACACACCAGCCAGGAGGGGACGGGAAAGCAGGCCTTTACAGCATGTACCACACACCAGCCAGGAGGGGACGGGAAGGCAGGCCTTTACAGCATGTACACACAGCAGCCAGGAGGGGACGGGAAGGCAGGCCTTTACAGCATGTACACACACCAGCCAGGAGGGGACGGGAAAGCAGGCCTTTACAGCATGTACACACACCAGCCAGGAGGGGACGGGAAGGCAGGCCTTTACAGCATGTACACACAGCAGCCAGGAGGGGACGGGAAGGCAGGCCTTTACAGCATGTACACACAGCAGCCAGGAGGGGATGGGAAGGCAGGCCTTTACAGCATGTACACACAGCAGCCAGGAGGGGACGGGAAGGCAGGCCTTTACAGCATGTACACACAGCAGCCAGGAGGGGATGGGAAGGCAGGCCTTTACAGCATGTACACACAGCAGCCAGGAGGGGATGGGAAGGCAGGCCTTTACAGCATGTACACACACCAGCCAGGAGGGGATGGAAGGCAGGCCTTTACAGCATGTACACACAGCAGCCAGGAGGGGACGGGAAGCAGGCTTTACAGCATGTACACACAGCAGCCAGGAGGGGACGGGAAGGCAGCGCCTTTTACAGCATGTACACACAGCAGCCAGGAGGGGATGGGAAGGCAGGCCTTTACAGCATGTACACACAGCAGCCAGGAGGGGATGGGAAGGCAGGCCTTTACAGCATGTACACACATCAGCCAGGAGGGGACGGGAAGGCAGGCCTTTACAGCATGTAACACACAGCCAGGAGGGGACGGGAAGGCAGGCCTTTACAGCATGTACACACATCAGCCAGGAGGGGACGGGAAGGCAGGCCTTTACAGCATGTACACACAGCAGCCAGGAGGGGACGGGAAGGCAGGCCTTTACAGCATGTACACACAGCAGCAGGAGGGGACGGGAAGGCAGGCCTTTACAGCATGTACACACATCAGCCAGGAGGGGACGGGAGGCAGGCCTTTACAGCATGTAACACATCACCCAGGAGGGGATGGGAAGGCAGGCCTTTACAGCATGTACACACATCAGCCAGGAGGGGACGGGAAGGCAGGCCTTTACAGCATGTACACACAGCAGCCAGGAGGGGACGGGAAGGCAGGCCTTTACAGCATGTACACACATCAGCCAGGAGGGGACGGGAAGGCAGGCCTTTACAGCATGTACACACAGCAGCCAGGAGGGGACGGGAGGCAGCCTTTACAGCATGTACACACATCAGCCAGGAGGGGACGGGAAGGCAGGCCTTTACAGCATGTACACACAGCAGCCAGGAGGGACGGGAAGGCAGGCCTTTACAGCATGTACACACATCAGCCAGGAGGGGACGGGAAGGCAGGCCTTTCAGCATGTACACACAGCAGCCAGGAGGGGACGGGAAGGCAGGCCTTTACAGCATGTACACACACCAGCCAGGAGGGGACGGGAAGGCAGGCCTTTACAGCATGTACACACATCAGCCAGGAGCGGACGGGAAGGCAGGCCTTTACAGCATGTACACACACCAGCCAGGAGGGGACGGGAAGCAGGCCTTTACAGCATGTACACACACCAGCCAGGAGGGGACGGGAAGGCAGGCCTTTACAGCATATACACACATCAGCCAGGAGGGGACGGGAAGGCAGGCCTTTACAGCATGTACACACACCAGCCAGGAGGGGACGGGAAGGCAGGCCTTTACAGCATGTACACACATCAGCCAGGAGGGGACGGGAAGGCAGGCCTTTACAGCATGTACACACACCAGCCAGGAGGGGACGGGAAGGCAGGCCTTTACAGCATGTACACACACCAGCCAGGAGGGGACGGGAAGCAGGCCTTTACAGCATGTACACACACCAGCCAGGAGGGGACGGGAAGGCAAGCCTTTACAGCATGTACACACATCAGCCAGGAGGGGACGGGAAGGCAGGCCTTTACAGCATGTACACACACCAGCCAGGAGGGGATGGGAAGGCAGGCCTTTACAGCATGTACACACACCAGCCAGGAGGGGATGGGAAGGCAGGCCTTTACAGCATGTACACACACCAGCCAGGAGGGGATGGGAAGGCAGGCCTTTACAGCATGTACACACACCAGCCAGGAGGGGATGGGAAGGCAGGCCTTTACAGAGCTCCCTAAGAGCTTCCTCTCCTCCTTTGACCCTTACGTCAATTCTCAGGGTCATTCTCATTTCACAATTGAAGATTTGGAGGCTCAGAGGTTAAGGAACTTCATCAAGGTCACCGAACTGGTAAATGGCAGGGCTGAGAACAGAACTGAGGTATATTTTCACTTGAAAGTTCATGCTTGCCCTGGCCAGTTTGGCTCAGTGGTTAGAGCATCAGCCTGCGATCTAGAAAGTCCTGAGTTCGGCTCCCGCTAAGGGCATGTACCTCAGTTGCAGTTTGTCCCCAGCCCTGGTTGGGTTGTGCGGGAGGCAGCCACTTGATGTGTCCCTTTCATGTTGATGGTTCTCTCCCTCCCTCCCACTCTATCTGAACAAAAAATGGAAAAATGTCCTCAGGTGAGGATAAAAAAAAAAAAAAGCTCATGCTCTACTCAAGTACATAAGCAGCCAACATCCCCTAATCTCTATGCCTTTCTCACTGTCTTTGCTTATACAGTCCCAGGACCCAGGGAAGGTAGAAGAGAACATCTTCGCAAAGTTATTTTCACGGATTACGTTTCCTCAGATGTGAGCGAGAGGAGGCGGGGGACCTACTCACCCAAGGCCGCCGTGGTCTCCGTGGCGGCTCTGGAACTGGAGAAGGGCAGGGCACCACCAGTCATGCCATTTCCATTCGACAAGCCCTCCAAAGGCTTTCCTCCAACACAAGCACCGAACCCAGAAAACCCTCCTCCTCCTCCAGAAGGTGCAACCAACCCTTTAAAGCCTTTAAAGGCCCCTCCACTATCAGACTGAAACAGAGAGAGCAAAAATTAGATAACTATTTTTATAACCAATAAGCAAATGAGTGACAATATTATTTTAGCTAAATAGCAACTAGAATCCTTATGCAACCAGCACTAAAAGAAAACTACTGCAAAACCAGAAATAGGACAGGAGAGATTTTATTCATGACGACAGCTCTGCAAACCAAAGCTGCCTCCTGGATATGGCCAAGGATAGTCTAGTTTACAGCAAAATCTGTTTTTAAAAATATATTTCAGGTATAAAAGGTTAAAGAAGAAACACTACAAATGCAATAACTGACGTATCTACCATCCAAAATTATAACTAAAAACACAACTAAGCCGAAATAAAATATTTTTCATGTATCACTCAATTTGCCTAAGGAAGTTGTAGAAGCATCAAATTAGGTTAACTGAAAGTATTTCACCCACTTAACCTATAATTTCCTAAGAAATTCTGCAGCCTTCAACCTGCTTTCAGCCTATAGAAACTTTGGAAGTTGATTTGAGTCTCAAATCTACATTTTCCGCAGTTGAGAAATCCAGAGGCGACATTTCGCTCTCGCTCGCCTGGCTCTTTGTCACAAGGTTGTTCTAACATGTTCCGCAGTTGCTGGCTTTCTCATCTGTAACCCAAGATACTTTGGAGATACTTGGCACTCCTTATGAAATTCTAAGGTTACTCTCCCTCTGTCCCCGAGAACTTCTGTGATTTACAGTGATCTGCTCAAGTCCTGACAATTTCTTTTAAGATTTTTTCATTCAAGATAGTGATTATACCATCGAGGGGGTCTGCTTCTCAGATGAGGACCCAAGGGAGGCTGCAGGAAAGTCTCCAAACTACATCACGAAAAACATGCTTCAAACACCTGAGCGCGCACAAACCCTACGTTCCCACGTAGATGAATGACAATCACGCACTCACAAGGAAGGTACTGCAACTGGAAAGCCTTCATTTTCTAAATGGGCCAGTCAGCCTATTATCATTGCACAGTTCTCAGAAAAACACAAAAGTTTCCATCACATCTATAGAATTTCTGATGGTTACTGACCACGAATATATTTATGGCAACAAAATCAGGCAAAGAATGCAAAATCTTAACTTGTATGAGTTTTAACACAAGTAATAAATATAGCTTAGGTTCTGATGCTTTAAATTTGATCATTCAAAATCCAAAATACACCAGACTGAGTCATTTTATCACAAGGATTCGCAGACAAACTGTCCGCAACAAGATGACAGTGGCTCTTCAGAGACTTTTATTTTGCACGACATTTAAAAGCCACATGGTATTTATAGCTATTTTGGATATTACTGATAGTAATTGGCTCTAGAATCACAACAAAAATTCAAGCACCACTTGTTTAAAGAAAAGGGAGGCCCTGGCCAGGGGCTCAGCTGGAGTACCGTCCTCTACACCAGAAGGTGGCGGGTTGTTTCCAATCAAGGCACATACCCAGGTTTCAGGCAGGATCCCCAGTCGGGACACGTGTGGAAGGAGGCACCCAATCACTGTATCCTGCTCACACTGATGTGTGTGTGCATCTCTTTCCCCAATTAAAAAAAAGAGCGGGACATTCAGAATGATGAGAGTTAAAAGCTGAATGAGATGTCCATTTGGACTGCACAGAAACAGAAACATCCCTGTGCCAGGTCTGTTTTTACCCACTGATGCATCCCCAGTGCCTAGCAGTTCTGCTGAATGAACGAACACATTCACTGCACAGGAAAAGGTATATGTCTGCATTTAAGGGGATGACACAGCATTTAATTTCTCTAATATACCAGTTCTAATGGAAACTTGAGGCTGAAATTATGCATGGATTTCAAATACCCGTGTATATTTCATTTCCTTTACTAGCCGGAAGACTCCCCCCACCCCTTCACTCTGGCCAAGTGGAGACTGAGGTCTACTTCACTTCCATCAGCCAACAACTTGGCCATCCCTCCTTAAGACTGTCTTCTCGTGGCTTCTGCCTCATCCACTCAGGCCTCTTCTCCTCCACCCCATGGCTTCAATCTGCTGCGTGCTGAACTCCTCCCGTCTGCAAGAACCTCACCCCAACTCCTGTTCCAAAGAGCCAATAAGCATAGCCAGCGGTCTTGTACAGAACTCCACACAAGCCCTGAAGTATATTTTCAAAATTAAACCCATCATTTCCTCCTAGTTCAGTTGTCCCTTCCCCCATCAACCTTCACTTGACTTAACACCAGTCTAAAGAATGAGATTAGACAGAAGAAAAACTTGGAATTAAAAAAAAGGACTGAACAGAGCCACTGCAGAGGCAAGGTTGTGTAGGTTTATTCCAAAGCTGCTACCCAGAGTTCAAACCAGCTTCTCCTGCCTGACAACAGAAGCCCAGGCCACCGACAGCACCGACAGGTCTGGAACACATGGAGGGCTGAGGACAGTACTGGGAAAATTGTTAAATGTGGAGTGACCGCTGAATCCTGATGCGATTTCAATTCATGAGTCACACACAACTTATCCTCTATCTTGATCACGGGAACAAAGCATCTTAATGCACTATGCTGTCGACATGTGAAATGCTTCTGTTATACTTCAGGACTCCAACCGTACCTCGAGCCCCCGCAGTAGAGACTGAGAATGTACCCTTTCCTCTCTCCCTCCCTCCCACATGCACGTCTCTGGCCTTCTGCACTGCTATCCTCATTCCCCTTCACCATGTCACTCAACTCTGACTTGTCTACATCTGTATTTTTTTCAGCAGCGGGTAAGTCCTGTAAGGCACAGATCTCCTATTAGCATTTTTTCTATGGTCTACGCCAAGCACTTTCACAAGTAGAGTAAGCACTTCAGTGAGCTTTTATCGATCTGATTGCCCCCCAAGGCAGAAAGCTGCAGAGAACACTCACTTCACATCCGACACTCCTACGCTTTGCTTTCTTTATGGCTCTGTTCTTCAAGACTTCCTCACTGGCCACTGAGAATGTTCCCACCTGCAGGAGCATACAAATTAAGCAGCAGTAAGATAAAGCCAAATTGGAGATAAAATGCTGCACGAAAAATCTAGACCAGGCAAACGTATCTATTATCTGCTAGTTTCAAAATACTGTTAATACTTTTTTTTTTAATCCTCACCCGAGGACATTTTTTTCTTTTATCTTCAGATAGGGCAGGAGGAAGAGAAAAACATCGATGTGAGAGAGACACATCGACTGGCTGCCACCCACACGACCCCAACCGGGGTTGGGGACAAACGGCAACCGAGGTACATGCCCTTAGTGGGAACTGAACCCGGGACTCTCTGATCCATGAGCTGATGTTCTCACCGCTGAGCCAAACTGGCCAGGACTGTTAATACTCTTAATACAAACTACAGAGAGAGCACATTAAAATGAAGCTCGTGCTGTCTGCCTTTGTGAACCCCAGTGCACACCAGGCAGGCCATGAGCCTTCTGGAGCCTACGGCTGCCAGGCCTGAATCAGAGGAGTGCGTGCACGGAGTCTGGCGAGACAGGGAGTCTGGCGAGACGAAGCCTGTTGAAGCTTTGGTGCAAAACCACCCTGCCCAGCCTTCAAATATTCCAACTGTACTCAAAGGTTTGAATAAAGCTTAAGCAGGGACGTACCTTAAAGATCATCAATAGCTGAGAGTGGAGTCAGTTTTGAAACCCAGATGCCCAAATCTAGTATCTTACTATTATCGTTTCCAAAAATAAAACTGTACTTATGAAACACACATACATTATTATTTTCAGAAAGAGCTCTGCCCACCCTGGCCTGTGCGGCTCAGGTGGTTGAGCATAATCCCGTGCACCAAGAGGGCTCCGGGTTTGATCGGGGCACATGCCTGGGTTGTGGGCCCGATCCCTAGTAGGAGGTATGCAGGAGACAGTCGATCCATGTTACCCTTTCACACCGATGTCTCTCTCATCATTAAATAAATACAATAAAAAGAGATCTGCACACGTGCCCAACATCGCAGGAGCGTGCAGCTGCCGGACTCTAGGAGACTGCTGAACCCTTCCAGAGTGTGCTCCAAGTACTGCATCCACAGCCAGGAACGTGCGGAAACCCTCTGGCTCCAGTTCACCCTGTGCTGCTGGCATAAATGTTTCCTATAAAAAGTCTCATCTGTAGTGATTTCAGAAAATGTTGAACTTAAGCGATCTCTGCAGCTACAGAAGGGACCGTCTAGTTACATCTGCCCAGATGAAATGTAATGTCCTTCCACACTCATTCTTCAGACTCCATCCAAATGGGAGCGCTTTCATTCCTGAAATATTTGACTGTCAAAGCCAATCTTTATATGGTAGTGTAATCGTCCTAGGCCCAGAATGTAGCTAGAAAAAACGTAGTTATCAAAGTCTTGGTGAAAAAGCACATCAGTTAGAAATGTTAAAAGCCCTGTTAAAATAATAACATGCTTGCCATTTTGACTTCCCTAACCATATTAGTACATACATTTGTAGAGGAAAAAATATCGGTACTAGGAAACAGACTCATAGAGACAGCCATCTAAGAATAAGCTTGAAGACACTTTTGCAGATTCTTTCATTAAAAAAAAATTGTTTTTTCTTGCCCTGGCCGGTTTGGCTCAGCAGTTAGAACATTGGCCTGCAGTCCAGAGAGACCTGGGTTCGGTTCCCGCTAAGGGCACATACCTCAGTTGCAGTTTGTCCCTGGCCCTGGTTGGGTTGTGCCGGAGGCAGCCACTCGATGTGTCCCTTTCATGTTGATGTTTCTCTCTCTCCCCCTCTTCCTCTCTTTCCCTCCCACTCTATCTGAACAAAAAATGGAAAAATGTCCTCGGGTGAGGATTAAAAATATATATATATTGTTTTTTCTTGACACTATCCTATTAACTTGAAAGGCTAACTTGGTTCTAGACTTCCTGGGTGAGCTGGCCCAGGAGTACCCCACTGCTGATGAGGCATCAGGAACGCAGCTGTGTTCTGCTCTCTCTAAGAGAGAAATTACAGTATCTCCTCGGGGAAGGCCATTCTTATTCTGTTAGGAAAGAAACTAGGTCAATCTAAATTCTATTCCTATCAATGCCATTGTGGGGAGGGTGTCTCAGATTGTAAGAATACGACATACAGCTGGCCTCTGAGAAGATTCGAGTAAGCGAGGTGACCGCAGCCACCTGAAATCTGAAATGACGGGGACGGCAGGCTGAGACGGTGGTGGCCTACCACTTGTTGAGTCTGAGTGCTGGCACTGAGCTAAGGTCACGACTAGATCACTGACTCACCCTTCAATCTTGACTGAACCATGGTTTACAATGCTCAAGTGTATGGAATTCAGGAGGAAGGTGCTTCTACAAAGGAGCAGAATATTCAGGGACTAGGTGCTGGTGGAAAGGCACCCCAAATGTAATTAATGAATGTTTACACTAAGCACAGGTCATGAGAAACCATACTTATTTCCGATGCAAGATGGTCTTAAAAGGGCTTTTTTATTTTACCTCAGTCTCCAGGAGGAAGCCAACTTTAAATTTAGAAGCAGTAGGAAATCACTCTTAGGAAACTACTTTTTACCTCTTCGGCTTCATCTTCTTGATCCCAATTCCTATCTGTCAGTTCCTTCTCGGCAATTCTTTTGGCCATTTTTTCGAAGCTAAAAGTAAAAAGATTCCAAGTCAAATGTTTTCTTTTCTAGACCAAGAGATCACTTTTACAAAGAATTTTTAAAATTGCCTCTAGCATGAAATGAGATAACAGCAGGCTGATGCCACTGGGAACTGCTCTAATAACTGTACTGAGGGGTCAGGCGCCCACTGCTTCAAATCCAACAGAGGGTGTTTGAGGGCAGAGCAGGTCTTCCGGGGACACTGGCACTCTCCTGAACCACACCAAACCAACTCTATTTGAAAAAAATTAATGTGCGATCTCAATTGAGTTTTTAAATCTGAAATTTTAAGTACTATATATATAATCAAGAAGTGTTTAACTAATTTATTCTATGCAAGTTACACTTATAACCGTGCCACCGACAAAACGTTTTCAATTATTTAAATTTCTCTTCAAGATGACCCAGTGAAGAAGTTCATTCCTAGGTAGGTCATACGGGTCCTCTTGTTTAGGCTACAGACAATGGATATAAATCCACTTCCCAAGACTGAACATTTAATTGCCCCAAATTGTATATTGATAACATAGGACATCATTTAAAAGCTCAAAATGTAATTAATATGAATGTGTTGACTCTCTGAGAATACAACCCTTTCAAAAATAAGCCATGAGCTCAATTCCTCTAACAGGGGGCGGTGCACAGCTGACTGACAATATTATCTCTGCAGTGAATACAAGCACCTACCTATCCAGAGGGTGCCTTGTATCTTGTCCCTTACAATTTGCCATTTTTTTTTATCCTGTATCATATCTTTTGCCATCAAAAACAAAATCAATGGAGAGCTCCGCTGTGAGTGGCATAACTCACCAGTTAAATGGACCAAAAAACCCTCTATTTCTTCTGCCACTCACCTTGTCCAGGAATTTATCCATTAGCTCAGGGCTCCTGAAACCCGCCTACACCATTTCTGATAGTCTTTCCCTACCCAAGTTTGCCCTTAACACCGCAACCCCAGAATAAGTTCCTGGAAATTCACGGTCATTAAGATACAAACTTAGCCTGGCTGGTGCAGCTCAGTGGTTGAGTGTTGACCCATGCCCCAAGAGGTCGCCCGTCAGGGCACATGCCTGGGTTGTGGGCCCGATCCCCAATGGGGGACATGCAGGATGCAGCCAATCGATGTTCTCTCCCATCGATGTTTCTATCTCTCTCTCCCTCTCCCTTCCCCTCTCTCTAAAAATCAATAAAGAAAAGAAAATTTTTTAAAGGAAAAGATACAAACTTAGACATCACCTACTGCTCTTTGGTCTCTCTAAAATAAACTTCGAATGCTGACATCCCAAAGGCTTCCAAAATCTGATACCCTGTAATTACATAGGGGTTTTTCAGCTTTAAATAACATCCTAATAATCTTTGAATACTTTTTTAATGTCTCCCTGCAAACATTTGGTTAAGTTTTGCTACTACTTTGTGTAATCCAAACAAAAACAATGTACTTTTATATATAATTTCTCCTGAACTTGACTGCCCGCATTTCTTTGGTCATTTTGCTGCTCGATAACTAACACTCCCACCAGAGGGTAGAAGAGGTGATAAGTTGAAATAGTCACTGCTACTATTAAGATAAACTATTAACTGTTTGTTAATAACTTAAGTTAGTCAATGGAAAAAAAGGAGTGGAACTGAAAGTGCTGAAACTGTAGTAAACTAAAATTTTTACCTCTCCTACCCACAATGAATAATCATAATCTGTACACCAAAACAATCTAAGGGTAGCTGCTCCCACATTCTACCCTAATCACCACCAAATCAGTATCCAACCAGAGAGCAGAGATCCTTGTTCTGTGTTCTAGGTGTACTCCAAACACCCCAAATCCGTCCATCTCATGACGAGTGTTCTAGCTGTTGTTGAATCAGTGAACTGGGACACTACATATTTAAAAAAATACTCCGTAAGATGCTGACATTTTCCAAGAAATTACAGGAGACCTTGGGCAAGTTATTTCATCCCTGTGCCTCAGTTTTTTCTTATGTAGAACAGGGAGGTGTGAAAATTAAATGAGATGTAAAAACTTAGTTTACAATAGTGCCTGGAACAGAGGAAGGGCTTAATAAATACTGTTAAAGAAACAAGTTTTGTTAGAAACAAAGGCTATAAAATACTACCCCCCTCCCCACTTAAAAGTTCTACACTATGGGGAAAGATAAGTTAGTTACTTGAGGTATGAGCCAAGCTTTAACATATATTTTAACAAGTCCATATTTTATTTCAAAGCATGACACTTCAGACAATGAACGCTTTTTATGCAAGATGAGGAAAAAACACCCCTGTAAAGTACTTAGAATAAGGCCCGGCACTAGAGGGTGTTCTGCACTATTATGATAGGGATTTAAAACCTTTGGGCTTGTGGTTACAAGTTATGAAATGACTCTTAGGAAGCACTGTCACAGGAAATTGAAACTTATGGTAATTGGAGGACACTGGTCTCTGCCATCTGAAGCTGCCCAGCTCAAGGTGTACCCTAAGATGAAAACCGATTTGAGAGGAGTGGGAGCAGGGAGAAGGGGGGTCACTGGGGGCAAAAAAGGGACATCTGTAATACTTTCAGCAATAAAGATGAAAAAACAACCAACCACCATCCCCCAAAACACAGACTTGACCAGACTTGAAAGTGTAGTGCCTGGAGGGCCCTGGGAAGAGGAGAACAAGGGTCAGACCGGGAAACGAAAGCCAAGGGCAAGTGCAACGGATTTTTCTTTCTTTTTTTTAATTTTTAAAAATATACTTTTATTGACTTTTAGAGAGAGAACTAGAAACATGGATGTGAGAAACACTGACAGGCTGCCACTGGAAACAGCCCCGGCCGGGCATGTCCCCTGTCCGGAATCGATCGGGACCTCTCACTCCATGGGCCAAGCTCAATGCACTGAGCCACTCGGGCGGGGCTGACCCTGACCCTGTCCTGCCCTGTCCGGGTCGCTCAGGTGGTTAGAGTCCAGTCCCATGGGCCGAGAGGTCCGGATGGATTCCTGGTCCAGGGCACGTGCCCAGGTGGACCCGTCCCCCCGTAGGGAGCGTGCAGGGAGCAGCCAATAGATGCTTCTCTGCCCCCCCAAATCAATAAAAACATTTTTTTTTTAAAAAGCAACCAATAAGTGCATGAAGAAGTGGAACAACAAATCCACATTTCTCTTTCTCCTTCCCTAAAAGTCAATAAAAATTAAAGAAACTGCTTCCCTTAAAGGAGCAGAGTAATGGGGTGATCGATGGCCCTGCATCCTAAAAATCAGTACAAACTAAAAAAAGAAAAGAAACTGCTTCCCTTAAAAGAGCAGAGTAATGGGGTGATCGACGGCCCAGCCTGGCGGGGAGAAGCGAAATCGGGCCACAGAGGCCGGGGGGGGGGGGCCGGGCGAGCGGGGCCGGGCGCACGGAGAGGAGGTGCAGCGAGGAACCCGAAGGCCACGCAGGGCAGCGGCTGCCCGCTCGGCCCCCAGCCCGCCGGCCGGCACCCGGGAGAGACTCCGCCAGGGCGGCCGGTCCGCTTCACAAACAGCCCGGATTGCGTGGCGGCTGTCATCCCGCCCCACCCTCGCGGCTGCCCCGCGCCCCGCGCCCCGCCCCAGGCCCGGTTTTCCAGGCCCGGGTCCCGCACGCAGACCCGGCTCCTCCTGCCAGGCCGGGGCTCCGCACCCCGGCTCCCCCAACCCAGGGTCCCCCCCCAGGCCCGGGTCCCCTCCAGACCCGGCTCCTCCTGCCAGGCCGGGGCTCCGCACCCCGACTCCCCCATCCCAGGGTCCCCCCAGGCCCGGGTCCCACACGCAGGCCCGGGTCCCACACGCAGGCCCGGCTCCTCCTGCCAGGCCGGGGCTCCGCACCCCGGCTCCCCCTTCCCAGGGTCCCCCCCCGGCCCGGGTCCCGCGCCCTGACGCGGCGGCTCCGCACCCCGGCTCCCCCTTCCCAGGGTCCCCCCAGACCCGGCTCCTCCTGCCCAGGTCAGGGCTCCGCACCCCGGCTCCCCCATCCCAGGGTCCCCCCCAGGCCCGGGTCCCGCGCCCTGACGCGGCGGCTCCGCACCCCGGCTCCCCCTTCCCAGGGTCCCCCCCAGGCCCGGGTCCCGCGCCCTGACGCGGCGGCTCCGCACCCCGGCTCCCCCATCCCAGGGCCCCTCCAGGCCCGGGTCCCGGGTCCCGATGCGACTCGTCCCCAGGCCCCGGGCCCGCCTGGCCGTCCCCGCAGCCCCCGCCCCCGCCGCCCGCCGCCTCTCACCCGCGGCACTCGCTGGGGCGTGGGAGCGGCGAAGCTCGGGTGCGCGACGGGGAACAGGTGCGAGGTCGCGGCCGCGGCGCTCGGGGCTGCGGCGGCTGCGGGTCGCCGGGTGAGCGCACCTGGCCGCTTCCGGTGCGCCGAGACGCGCGAAGGACTCGGTGATCGGCAAACCCCGAGCCGCAAACACCATGTCCCCCGGGGGCCTCGCCTCTCTGTGTTCGGCGGTGACGAGGACAACCGTCCCTTCAGCCGGAGATCGCCGAGGAAACTGCGCCGAACACGCTCCAGGCCGCCATTTTGTAACTCGAATCTACTCCTCAAAAGCGATTCGAAAAAAGGGAGGAAAGAAACGCCCGCGTCCGGCTACTGCGCAAGCGCGCTGGAGTCTTGGCCGGCAGCCCCTCCTTCGGCGGACAGGGGGCGTCACGCGACGCATGCGCCTCGCTGTTTGGAAACTTGTGCGGGCAGGAGCGCCCCTGTCTCACGCATGCGCACGCCGGCCTCGGCCGGGGAGCCGGCGGCAGGAGTTGACGCACGTTGGTCACGTGTCGGCCACCGTACGCGTTCGAGGCGTTCGCGCGCAGTGGCTTGTGCTGTGCAGGTCCGGTCAGTCCGTGAGCGTGGCCGAGGCTCGTGGCGGTCTGTGTGCGGTACAGCAGGGCGGAGAGACCGGCCGCGGCCGGGGAAACGTGAGTGAAATCCGGAGAACCACGTCGGAGGCGCGGCGCCGCCACTGTGGCCCGCAGAGCTACCCCGGCGGCCCTGACACGTGGCCGCCCGCGACGTGCCCGGCTGCGGCGTGGCGCGGAAAGCCTGGCGCCACGGACCCAGGAGGGCGGCCTCGGTCGCCGCACAGCTTGTGTTGATGTCCGCGCTGTGCTGGCCCCTTGCCGGCGAGGAAACGCCCCACGTCGCGCCGCCGCGGTGGCTGGACGAAGTGAGGGCCGCAGACGCGCGTGTGAGCCGTGGAGCCGACACGAGGCCAGCGTCGGATCTGTGCTCCTGTTTTCTTTGCAGGGTGGCGTGTCCAGCAGTAGGCAAGCTGCGGTGCAGTTCGGTGTGGTCCACCTCTTGCCTCGCAGTGGACACCCCTCGACCGAAGACTGCGGGAAGCAGACGAGTTAGGAAACTTCCGGGAAGGCACGGCTCGGAGCAGTGGTTCTTAGCATGTGGCCGAGGGGTGTTTATGGACGTGCTGGGCAGTGCAGAGGAGGTTTGGACGTGGGAGTGGAAAACGTTTGCCTGTGAGGTCAGGTGCTTCTGAACCCCCCCTAAAATCCTCTCCGTGGACCCCTGGGGTTAAGGACTCCTTATCTAGACCCTGGATCCAACGTATACAAGTTAAAAACAGCCCTGGCCAATTTGGCTCAGCGGTTAGAGCATCAGCCCACGGACTGATGTGTATCGGGTTCGAGTCTTACCAAGGGCACGTACCTCGATTCCCCCCTGGCCCTGGTGGGGTCATGCGGGAGGCAACCAGTTGATGTGTCTCAGCAGTGTTTCTCTCTCTCCTCCCTCCCTCCCACTCTGATAATAAACAGAAAAATATTCTCGGGGTGAGGATTAAAAAAAAAAAAAGGTTAAAAACCCAAAACCGCCCCCCGCTGTGGACGTATAAGAAAAAGAGTTCATTCCCTGCTGGGATGTTGACTTCCCCTAAAACCGGCAATCCAAACGGAGATGTTGCTGAAAATGTGTTGTTCTCTGCTGTAGATGAAAAAGTAGCCCCAGCCAGGGACCTGTATTAGGTGTCGGGACAATGTGAACTGCATGTATAACTAGACAGTGTTGGACTAACCATGCATTGCAAAATGAGGTCTTCAGTGGCCTGCTCTCCGTGTCTTTGTTTTTATCAACAAAAAGAGCACTTAAAACGCAGACCCTACAGGTTGATGCATAGCTTGCCAAAGCCATCCGATTGGTTGGTGGCAGAGCTGGAGCCAGAGCCCGGGTCCCCCATTCTACACTGAATGCCTGCTGTTGGGGACTCCATAGAGTTTCGGGGGCCCTTGGTCTCTTCTCACTGCCCCAGGTCTGCTTTCCCATACTCCACAGCGACTATAAATCCTTACCAGGAAACTTTCCTAGCCACCTTTCTCCCAGCCCCCAGCCTCACCTCTTGCTCACCGTCCTCACTACCAAATAGGCACTCCATTATTTACCAAATGAACAAATCCTTCTTTTTCTTCATTGATGGAAATGTTATGCCAGACATTTCTGAGTTCCCTTCTGACTCATAGCTTGTGAATCTTGGTATTTGTTTTTATCTGTGGGAAGCTCATTCACCCCAAACTGTTTCCTGGTGCCTTATAAACTGAATGGTAATGCTTGCT